GGAATGCCTTCCTCTCAGTATATTGGTGTTTGACAGTACACAGAGTATTGTCCATCAGGAAGCTCACTCAAGCCACTGAGTCCAGAATTTTTATTTGGGCTCTTCCACATACTGCTTATGCAGCTAACCTTTAGTCTCCAGTTCCATCAGAACTGATATGACATGCTCCAAACCACCCTTCATAAATCATGTTGTTAGACTGCCCAGATATAAACAAAGATACTCCTTCCAGACAAGACATTCCAACGGCCTGGAGATCTATCAGGAACCTCCTAATAGCCATCAGCAAAGACAAGACCTCACTTTGGGTGAAGTTAATGCTTCACTACTCATGTAAAGTGGAGCTTCCTATATACCTAGACAAATGCTGTGTAGAAAGTTTTCCTCTAGCCTTATGCTACAACATGCTGTCAAAAGTAATAGTGAGATCTCAGCCATTCCTTTGTCACATATACCATTGGACAATCTCTGCTAGACTAATCTTAACTGATGTTCCAGTACCTGCTTTGTCACTAACAATCTGTTTTACTCCTAAATAAGACAAGTCATTTTTGTGCCCCTGTTTTCTAATCTGTAAAATAAGCTTTTACTAGATTATTTGAGGCTCCTTCTAACTCTGACCTTTTACAGTTTCTTATATAATTTATTGGTCAGAACATTCCCACTGCCTGTGAACCAACAATGGCTTCCTCTGGAGGTCTTTTAGAGGTTAGGGGCAACGTATTATAACTCTTTTGTGTTTCTCATAATGTTAAACACTTAATAGATACTCGTGAAAAACTTTCCTAGTTCATTTTATTCACATTGAAGAAAAAGAAGACTCTGGAATCTGAAGTCCCTTGTTCTTCCTCCTGAGGGCACTTCAACCCCTAATTTCAACTAGGTTCTTAGGTACCTGTAGTTTTGGTCCTGGGTTTTTGTGGGGTTTTTTTGATGGTTTTGATAGAGTGATGTAAAGTCCTTTCCTCGTGATGTTCTACTACAGTTGTTATTTCTTACCTGATCCTATGATGCAGTTTTATAGGTAAGATAACTAGTTCTGGAGACTGAGAGACTTGCCTTATATATTATACAAAATATTAATAAAATAGCCCCAGTTATTTTATAATCTTAACTTGCTGTTTCATAAGAACTTAATAAGAAATCTTTATTGTTTTCTCCTCTTCCTCTTCCTCCTCCTCCTTCTACCTTCTCCCTCCTTTCTTCCTTCTTTCTTTACCTTTGAGGCATTGGGGTGGTTGTAATTTTTAAAACACATTTTTTCAGGGCAGTTATGTCAGCTACAATAGATTAAATAATAATCATAAAAATTAGATATAGTGGAATGGAAAGGAATTATGTCCTTATTTGGTGGCTATATCTAGAGGTCCTGGGGTTTTTGCAAACAAGTATGTAAACAAACTAAATTATAATATGATCTTTCATTAATTCTGTGGTTCTGCTGTTCATTTTTAAATTTTTATCATTTTCAGAGAGAATTTTCTGGAGTATCTCCCCTAAGGGGCTTTCTGGGAAGTATTTTGGAGTGGTATCAGAGATGAGATATAACAAATTGACCCTAGAGATTATATTAAGAAGGAGAAAACAACAAAAAAAAACATTTAGAGAGAAGGGTGATCAGAAAATCTATTAAGAGAAACAAAACTTTGAGTGTGGTCAATAAAGAAATACCAGGCCAATACAGAAAAATTGAAAAGACCTCTACAATCTTAAAAAATGCCCAAAAGATAGTATATAGAAAAGACCATTTAAAGATAACTTTGCAGATTACAATTATGAAAAACTGTGATAGCTATTCATTTGCGAGCCCAAAATCAGTTCATCAGGTATCAAACTTTTTCTATTACGTAAAAATTGAAATTAACAAAATCTAAGAAAACAGTTCTTTAATATTTGGCTCTTCTTGTCAAGGCCATAATATGCCTCATGCTCATGTATACCATATGTGGTAGGCACATGGTCATTATAAGCACTCTCATTTTAACTTTAGATAAATTATTTAGGACCTTAATGGCCTATTAAATATATAAAATATAATTTAAAATATCTATATATAAATATAGATATAATAAGTTGGTTTTGAAAGAAAGCAGGAGAGTTTAGTAGTTTGAAAAGTAGAGGAGATTTTAAAAGGGAACTAGACGCTAAAAACAGGTATATTAGAAACTAGGAAGAGGTATACAATTTGATTTAAGAATAACTTGTTTTGCAAAATGTGAAACAGGCATTAGTGTGTCCAAAAATAGAAAATTGTTATGAATTGTTGTTTCTCAATCTTTAGTCTTCTGGATTCTTTCTTTTGCACTTTTTAGAATATAAGAATAAAAACAAATGGAAAAGTTTTGGAGAAGACATTTTCAAGATAAATACAGAAAGAAATTTCTTGAAAGAACTGCCAAAAAGATCCTCAGAATTTGTGCGAACAGCTAGACTAAACAAAGGCTCGAGGGTTTAGAGGTTATGACTTTTCAAATTGGTTTTATTTAGGAATGATAAATTGTCACTTTAGGAGAGTGAAAAATATCTGACACCACTGCTTATAAGCTCTGAAAAGGATTATCTCCTGGGAAAATAAAATCATTATTTTGAATCCAAGAAGATTTTTCTAAGAAATTAAAATTCAAATAATCTCTTTTTACCCCCAGAGAGCATTGTACCTGCTCCAAAGGCCTCCAGCCTTTTGCATGTTTTCTCTATATTGCACTCCTAGCTCAGTGGTAGTTAACTGCTCTTAATTTGAGCGAGTAGAATTTTAAAACAACTTTATATCACTATGCACAGTTTACTTGGTTTTTAATTCAAATTGCTTGTAGAATGTCTAGATTCAGATTGAAAAAATATGAAGAATTAGTATCAGAATAAGTTCATTTGGTTTTTTAAAAGGTTTCAAATTAGATTCGCTTTAAATATTCATTTGACTTTTAGATACTAATTCTGTTATTAATTACCAGAAATAAGTTTTTATTGAGAATAATTTCAATACAGAGTTTGCCAAATAGTTTTAAGACTAGGATGATACTTCACATCCATCCATTCAGCCATCTTTTTAACTGTAGGTAGGACTGCTTTGTGATGTATTTGAAGTGTACAAAAGAGTTAAAATGAGAGTAGACAAGATTTTAAAACTTTCTTAGAAGTTGGATCAGTGCAGGTACATTTTTTGATGACCTCATGTGCAGTTGAGTATGTGCTCTCAGATTTTTGCCCCCCAATACCTGTGTATATACATACATGTATATGTATTTTTCCACCTGGCTTTAAAGTGTGATTTTTTCTGAGATGGCTAGCATTCTGTTAATATCATAAATCAGAAGCTATTTTTTATTTATAATGTGACTGTTTCAGAGAATCTTTTAAGATGACTTAGAAACAAATTAAGTGCTCAGAAATTGAAACCTTTACCTTGGCCTTATTTGTCACATGTTCTATTCAACTGAGTCAACCAACTATATAGATTTAATAAAATAAAAAATATCATCAAACACACTTCACCCTAGCTGTCAACATTGGCCTCCTATATATCACCTCGTTGGTACAAAAGCATAACACCATCCCTAGATGTCCCTTCCCATTACTATAATGTTCTAGGGGAGAAGAGAATGAGTCTAGTGTGGTTCGCAGTATCTTTCAAGAAGATATAGCAGCCTTGAATAAGAGTTGGTGAAGCATTTATGAACTCTTCCCTTTTCTTATAAGGGTGTTTCTGCCACTATACTGACAAAAAAATAACTGATTTACTGGGTAAACTGAACCCTGTTGCCTAACTAAATGAATATTAAAGTCATTAAGTAGCAGTGAACTGCATTGTGAAGTACATCTCAAGGCTGCACAAAATGTGATAACTGATATTGTACTTAGTGGGCATAATTTTTTCTTTAAAATTTATTCATTCTTTTATTTAACAAATACATTTTGTGTGTATTTTGTGTAAAGTGCTTAATAGTGGAGATAGAATGAAAAACAAATCAGCCTAGATTCTCAGGGAACTTAATTCTTGAGGTTGGAGAGAGACAAAAAAAAAAGCAAATAATCACAGTAATTTCAGGTGGTGATAAAGCACTGTTTTAGAAACAAGATTATGTGATCAGGCCAGGGAAGGATACTACTTTACATAGTATGGTTAGAGAAGGTTTCTCTGAGGAAATAACATTTGAATAAGATCTGAAAATGAGTAAGGAACTAGTCATTTGAAAGGGTGAAGGAAGAGTATTCCAGTGAGAGAGAACAATAAGAAAAAGACTCTGAGGTAAAAATGAATTTAGTTGCTAAAAGAATGGACTGAGAAGGCCAGTGTGGTTAGAGTGTAATAAGCTAGGGAGAATAGGAATGACATAAAGTTGACAGGGCAGGAACCTTGTATATAAGCCCTTGTAAAAATTTGGATTTTACCTTAAAAGCAGTTTTAAGGTTAATGTCTCGCTACCTGTGAACCTGAGCATTAAAATACATTTTATTTTCTAGTCAGCCTTCTTAAACTTTGTAGCTAACAGGAAATGTACTTAATTACATTTTAATTTTAATTTAAGTATTGCTTCTTTTCTGACTCATGTAATTTTTTTTAAATTAGAATCATCTTATTGTGAAGGTCCCCCCATATCATGATCAACATATAACTTTGCCAGTATCAGTGGGAATATATGTAGTGACCAATGCCGGAAGATCTCATGATATTCAGCCATTCACTTACACTCCAGACCCAGGTATGTCAAAATAAAAAGGTTCTGAAGTAAAATGAATGATTAATTTCTAGTACTTTGGAGGGATATGAGGAAGACCAGCCAACCAAAATGAAAAAGTTATATACTGAGATGAATTGATACTAGTATTTTTTGGAGATGGCATTATTTCCTAAGAAGATAGTCGCTAGATACTGCTTTTATTCTTTATATTTAAGAGAATCATTTCTGCCTTATGCTTTAATAATTAAAAAAAAAAAGCTAGGAATGTTTTGATATTAGACTTTCCAGAGTTATCATACAGGTTACTCTTTACTAAGAAATACCACTCATTGAGTACCTCTGGAGTGCAGCAAAGTGAAAGTGACAACCTCGGGAAACTTATAATAGTTTAGTCTGGCTGGCTTACAGGATGCCTTTTTGGAAAGGTGAGAGATAAGCTTGGAGTGATAAGTGATAAAATCACAAAGTTTTATATATGCCTTAACGTTTTCTGATTTCTGTATTTTAAAATATCAAAGACTGCTGGTGAATATTTTAAATATAATTTTAAGCAATTAGGTAAAACAGATGGTTTAGAAACCAGAGCAGTAAGAGCAATTGAAATGTTAAAAGTTTAGAACTCTGGGTAAGACGTATATTATGAGTTGTTTGCTCGCATTCATTTAGTTGCCTGAAGAAGAGAAGCCTTTCCTGGCAGAAGTAGGGAGAATATTTTAGAAATGGAAACTCTTTGCATGTTCCATTGATCTAGGCTTGGTTTCTGCCATGCTTACCATTGGTCCAGTTCATTCTGGCATTAGGTATACTACAGAATTAGCAGTTCTTTTGTATCTATAAGTTTATTGATTCTGTATCTGTTATTTCCAAATAGTTCAGGATTCAGTGAGGTACAAAATGAAAAAAGATGGCAAGGAAAGCCCTGGCAAGAAAAAATAATGGAAACAGCTGTGACAGAGTAATAACTAGTATTGATAAATTACTTTCTATCACTTAATATATCTGCTTCCTTTTTATTTTAAATCATGTCTGAATTCACAACATTGGTTATTTTTCACTAGTCTGCTATAAAAGTATGCTACAGTATAGCATTAATTAAATCATCTTAGTATTTGTTTCAGAATAAAAGATCACAAGTAGAAATTTCAGACAGAACAAAGCCAAGTTTAGAAATAATATACTGGCTTCTACAAAAATAGGAAAAAGAAAATTGGCGTATGCCCAAAGACCAAATATTTTATTGTTTTCTTTCTAGGAAGGCCTCAAAAATCCAAGAAAGTTTGATTTAAAGTAATGGTAGTTAAAGCATTTTAATAACTACTAGTTACTGAATATTGATCTTTGTTTGTTTTTATTGATTAACTTTAAAGAATTTTAGGACTTTGAAGTGCTTAGCATCAGCACTGAGAATTCTATTTCTTAGTGATGAGTGCTGATTATTAGAAATTTCCCTTTGATAGATTGCCAAATAAAACAGCTTCTAAGTCTTCTGCTTTAAAGCATATACTAATTGGTTTGATTTGGCCACATTTAAGCAATTATGAACATATGTTTATTCTTTTAGGGCCCCCCACTCACTTTTACATATTGTACATAGCAGTCACTCTCAGAAACTCTTAATTGAATAAATACACAGTATGCAAAGTTTGTAATAAGATCTGATGTTCAGTTTCTGCCTTTATGATATAGCTAATTAAAGAATCTTCCCATAATTTCCCTTCTTTTATTTTATAAAATGTGAACATCTTTTCAGGTGTACATGAGAGACAGGGACTATGATTTCAGGAAAACTTGGTTATAGAAAATTTGCACTACCATTATGATAAATTGATTAGTATTGTGATTTATTTGAGGACTATAGTTAAACATTTAACAGCTAAAACTAGGCCTACTCTAGTATTCATAAGTCAGTAGAAATGGCAGCTCTTATACCATTTGTCTAAATATTTAAAACAAACAAATCATTAAATAAAATATATCCTATCTTTCTAACTTGAGATACCTTCATAACAACCTGGAAGACCAGTTATGAATTTAGGATTTTCAGACTGGAGTTCCAAGCTGGAACATGGCACCGTGAGGGAAGGGGATTCCCATCCTGCCACTCTTCTCTTCCCACTCCTGGCTCCATTCTACACCTGGAGGGCCTTGAGGCACCAGCCAGTGCTTCCAAACACTGTTTAACCCTTAGGCCTAAGACTGCACACATAGTCTAGAGTAGTTGTGCAGAAAATTTAGGAATCTTGAGTAATTGGGTACATGGTCTAAAAGTAGAATCGGAGCAAAGGCTCACATGAACATAAATAGGGTCTACACACTCTGCCCGTCACAAGCCCTCTAAAGCCCTCTGGGTCTATACTGCCAAAAATACATTGCACGTGCATGCTGTCAGGCACTTAGATACTTTGCAGAGTCATAAAACCTTTGTTTCATTGCCACTTAGCACTGAAATTTGCTTAATTATTATTATTATTTTTTTACTTCAGTCTGTTAACACAGAGAAATCATATTAGGTATTTTTTGCAGTGACCCTTAATTTTTTTTTTTTACTTCCGTCTTTTAACAAATAGAAATCATATTAGGTATTTTTTGCAGTGACTCTGCAGTGATGATTCCTTTTAAGAAATGGGGGATATAAGACTTACTCATATTTTTGTTGCTTTAAAATAAAATTACTAAAACTTGATTTTAGAATAGAAACTTTTTTTAAAAAAGATTAGTTTTCTGTTTTTAAATATGTAATTGTTAGAATTAATATTATGCTTAAAAAATGTCTATGGATTTCTTTTCCATTCAATTCCTAGCATGTGCAGCATGCTAAGATAAATAATTAACTTCATTCTTAGGAGAGAGATATATATATTGTCTCTTTATTCACAATTAACTATCTCTTTATAGTCTCTTTATAACTGTCATTTCATATTGTCATGTCAAGAATAAGAAAATGAAAATAAGCCGACTCATTCTCATTTTGAATAAGTTAAGGAATATAAAATAAATACATTGAAAAATAGAAATTAATCTACTTAAATAAAATTATTCTATAGTAATTTTAAGCAAGAACCTCTTTATTTGGAATTTATCATTCAGAACTGATCTCTATTCTTTTTTAATTAAAATTATTGGGGTGACATTGGTTAATAAAATCAAATCGGTCCCAGGTGTACAGTTCAGTAATAAATACATCATATGTATATTGCATTGTGTGTTCACCACCCAAAGGTAAATTTCCTTCTGCTGCTCTCTTTTCTTAGGCCCATTAAATTTAAAGTGGTCATAGATGTAGTTGACATGACTAGATGTAATAGCCCACCAATTTTCCATTAATAATAGCAAAGATTTTTTTATCCAACACTTTACAAAAAAAATAATCATAATGCTATAGATTCTATATGTTTATCACAGTTTTTTAGAATTTAGCTACATTAATAGACATGTTTCTGAATTCATATTTTTTAATAAATCATTTATGTAGGTAAATGGCAAATTTTTTTCATGCTAGTGTTACATAGTATATTTGATAAGTTTAAAAAGTCTCATCACTCTTGTACTTATCAGATCTTATCAATGTGTATACTGTTACAAGAAGGATTTTTTAAAGTTGCTCTTGTTTTTGTTTTGATAAGTGAGCACATGCTTCTGCCCAGTTGGAATTTTAGACTGGTGATTATAAAAACTCATTTCAACTTACAATTTCTGCTAAACAAATACTTTTATGATGCTTTGTGAGAAAATAGTCCAGTTAAAGGATTTTAAAATACATATTTTGTTAAGATGAATAAACTTAAGTAAAGAAATGCATTAATCTTTTTTCTTTAATAGCAGCAGCTGGTGCTTTGAATGTAAATGTGAAGAAGGAAATATCTAGTCCAGCAAGACCTTGCTCTTTTGAAGAGGCCATGAAAGGTATCAAATTGATTCTTCTCAAAAATTGTAAATAGGTGATCCTATATCTTTTCTCTAGCAAACCTTACTGTTTTGTTTTCTCTTATGTACTTGGAACACTTAGCGAGATACCTTCCATATGGTAAAATATTTAACTTTCCTGATTGCAGAGACTCGTCTCCCAACTTGATATTTCCCTTTATTCACCATACAGCATTTTTAAAACATATGTTAGAATGGAGGAGTTTTTTATTTAATTTTGTTTTTCATTCCCCAATTTTAAACGTCTTAAAAATATATATAAAGTACAATAATGAGTGTTAAAAATCGAGTTTACAAAGCTCTTTGCTACCAATAAGATTAGTTGTTGACATTGAGACTGAAGAGGGCAAAATATGAACTATAGGCATCTGAAAAAGTTGCTTTAGGTTTTTTTGTTGTTGTTTTTCTTTCTCCTGCCTCTTTATTTACTTCCAATCCCAAGAGATAATAAAGGTATCTTCAGGATTTTTAATATGGTAGAATTGATTCTCTTCTTAGCAGATTTCTAATATAATTATGATACTTGATGATGCTTTTGTGCCATTATATATGAAGGTTCAATTACATAATGGCCATTGATTTATTCTTATAATTTGAGCTTTTACTTATATTTTTCTGCCATGAAATTCATATGAGTTAAATCAAATTAAAAATACTTATGTTTTTAAGGGACATAATATGCTTAATAAATTTTATCAAATACAGTGGATTTTCTTCTATTGTCAGTAGTAAAATTTAGTGTTCACATATATAATGTCTTCGACATAACTTATAACCATGATTTCCAACCATGAACACTTTCCAGAGTAGATTAGTGAGAAATTATGTGTACTGATAAGTAAACTACCAAGATTATCTGATTCGACTACAGGAAAATTAACAAATATGTGCTATGAATAATCATAACTAACATGTATTGAATATATATTAAGTGTTAGGCAATATGCCACACTCTTTACTGTCTCATTTAATCTTCCAAACTCTGCGAGGTAGGTAATTTATTATTCTCATTTCATAGACGAGGAAACCAAGATTCCAGAGGTGTTAAATAATTTGCCTAAAGTCACTTAGCTAGGATTAAGAAAAGGATAAGTTAAGCTTCGTATATAAAGTACCACATCTAAGCAAAAGTAATTCAAATCATGCTTATTAGATAAATGCCATAATTAATCATTAAGGTCAGGAACATTTGTAGTCTATCCTTTGCCATCTTTGAAGCATTGGTGCTTCTCTACAAAAATTTTTTGATGTTCCTTTCATGTAGACTATGAAGGTGGTGGAACACTAATATAACCCAGTGTGAAATTTTTCCATACAAGGTTATAAATTGAAGGTTAAATTGTTTAAATGCTATGTTTAATTTTTAATAACAAAATTATTTAGTCATTTGATCAGAATCTTACAAGCTTAAAAAATGGATAACAAACACATGTGCATATTATTTTTCAAAATGCATACCTCCTTATTTTGAATGATTTTATCAACTGAAGTCATAAAAATAATTTTATGAAGATATAAAACTGAATACTCAACTATCTTATCCATTTAAAATTTTCATTTGTTTTTATAAATACAATATTATCAATTGGAGATTTCTGATCAATTAAAAAAAAATAATAGCTCTCAGAATCAGGAATTTTCCTTGACAAATGGCTTAATTTTATGATTTTTTAAATTCAGAGCTTTAGTATAATACCAAGGTACCATCTGACACATTTAAGTAGATATACTTTAATGATGAAGATTGAGTAACATAAATGACTTAAATTTGTGTTATGGCAATAATCCTCTAAATAACGTTCTTATAAATAGCCATCACAATTACAATAAGATTTAGAACTTGATACCCAAAAATGTTATGGTCAGATGTTGAAAGCTTTTGCTCTGAAGTAAGTTTCTGATTGTTCAGAGAGGGTTTGTAGGAGGCGAGGAGGAAGGAGGATAACTGCCCAACTACTCAGTGAAATATTCAGTCTAGTGCCAAAACACCATGATTTATTTTTAGTTTCACCCAACTGCATATATCTCCTTAAAACAAAAGTAATATAAATTAAATGATAAGATAAGGTATGCAGTGTAAACTCTTGTTAACAGTTTCTTGAGAATATTTCCAGAAAGTTTTTTATATTTGCATAGGTACACGTAGATGTGATTATAAGCTCTAGATAGATTGTTCAAAGACTGTGATGGAGGTTTAGGACTCAGAAATAAAGTATTGATCTGCATTCTATAACTTCAGCTTGTAAGGAGTGGTTAATTGGATGAGTATGAAAAATAGTTGAGAGCGTATACTTTTCTCTAACTGGTTGCTACTATGTGGAAAGGTTTAGGAGCTTGGAGGAACAATAGAGATAATCTAGTTCAATCTCATTTTACAGGTGAATAAACCAAGGCTTAGAGAAGTTAAGTGATTTGCTCAAGGTCACATAGCTAGTAACAGACAGAGGTTGTAACTTAGGTTTCCCTCAAAACTCAGTATTTTTTCACTCTATTATCTCCTCTATAAATCTTAATTTAGATTTTTACCATACATATTTGTACTTGACCTAAATGCTGCTCACTGAAAACCGACTTCTAATAAAGATTGTTCTAAATTTCAAAAGTTGTTATTATTTTTGGATAGATTATTTCCATGGATGGAAGAGAACACTTTAAAAGTTGTTTGGTATAAAGTATCAATATCAATATTCTTCGCAAATTTAGATTGATACTGGGATGGTTAAATCTATCTTATTTACTGTCTGGATTTTCTGAACTGGCTTAAAAGTTTCCCCCAACCCCTAGGTTATCTGTATTTTACTTGTTTATATTTTTTTCCTCCTCCATGAAAATGTAATTTCCAGGTAGTAGGGCTTTATCTTATTCATTACTGGATCCCCAGAACCTAGAACATTACCTGAAACTTTGTAAGGGTTCAATAAATACCAAATGAAAAATGTAGGAAGAAAAGATAGAGTGACAGCTCTTAAGCCATTTAATGTTGTTTAAAGGTCTATTAAGATATAGATATATATTTTCATTAATACTATTAATGAAAATTTACAGTACCACACTGTAAGATTAACCAAACAATCCACAGCAAACTAAATTGACTACAATAAAGGTAAAGTTAGATTAATTCATTCATTTCTTCATTCATTCAACAAATATTCATTGATTACCTACTGTGCACCAGACAGCAACAACAAAATCTCTACCTTCATGGAACTCACATTCTAATAGAATTCAAAAGCAAGAATAGCAGTCGAATATTACAGGATCAACTTAAGATAACAGTACAGTCTTTCAAATAGTCTTGTGAGATGGGTCTCGAATACTTTTAAATGCCTGCCCTGTGCATGATCTGGTTTTCTCTGTGTAAAAATTAGATTGTAAGTTGAAGTGTGTTGGTATTGGTAAAATCGAGGTGAAAGTTGGTCCAGAGAACTCAAGAATCAATGATCCATTTCTCAGAGTAATAAAGCATAGAATATCCAAAGTTAAATGAGTACTTTTCCTCCCACAGTATAAACAGTTTGTTTCTAGCCAGTTGGCTGTGAGACAACTTTAAGGAAGACAAGTTTGAGACCAGAAAGTTTCAAGTATTTTTAAATCAAAATATTTATAAAGGTAGCAATCCTACTCATATACCATATACCAATTAAAATTCCTCTTTGTGGCCAAGATTTCTTCTCAGTATCAACTTAAGAAATTTAGCAGCTGTGTCTTCTGGGGAATCTGTATTTCTTTCCACAGGTTCTCAAAGTAGCAGGAAATTTTTAGATCATTACTTGGGTATGCGCTCAATTCAGAAGATTCTCATTAGCGATATCAGTAGGCTCCACTGAGTGACAATGGCAGACTCATAGACAAAAAAGAAAAAGAATCCAAGGGGAAAGTAGATATAATGAAGTGATAGAACACACCTAATCTGCTATATATTGCTTCTCCTTGGTGTAAATCTCTAATTCCTGAAAACGAGAATTGGAAGAAGTGGGAAATACTGGTTTTGCTTTGGAAATTTAATTGATAGACTAAAATAGTCCTTAAATTTATAAAAAGAAAAAAATTTAAGTCCTGTCTAAAAGAGAGATGTGTTTATGTGTCAATTTGACAAATTCAAGTTTTCTAAGACATTAATTTAGAAAAGTAAATTTTATTTGGTTACTTGGTGGTATTTTCTAATGAGAAGCTTGAGTTTTATTGAGAGAAATGTTCAGACAATTCTTTGGCCTTTAAAGTTTCGACTTTTGTGCTGCCAGGCAGCCATATACTAAAAGGAGAGTTTAACAGTTGTAATTGAGTAGTTTTAACCTCCTGGAGATTTCCAAGTTATATTCTACAGAATATCCTGGTTGTTTTGGGAAGATTAATTCAAGGCACCATAGAAGAGTCCTGCAGAGGCGGGATATAGCTTGATAACAGAACTGCTTAAGCTTGTTGATATTTAACCCACAGTCTCTGACTCATACAAGGAGTACACAAGCCATTGCTACTTCAAAAAAGGGAGGGCACATTTTGATACACCAGTTTTATGTTTCATGCTACCATCATAGCATCAAAAAATAGACATTTAAATCATGACTAATAGTTAACATACTATAGAATGAAATAGTTGATGATTTTAAACTTTTCTTTTTTGTGTATGTGTACGTGTGCAGCAATGAAAACTACTGGATGTAACTTAGATAAAGTAAATATTCTTCCTAATGCTCTGATCACTCCACTCATATCAAGCAGTATGATTAAGAGTGAAGATGTTACTCCGATGGAAGTAACAGCAGAAAAAAGATCTTCCCCTATTTTTAAGGTAAGCTACATTGACTAGTGCTCCACATCTTAATGTAAATATAAAACATTCAGTTGTTCGATTTCTTTTTCTGTGTTTATGCTTTTTACTTTTCCTATTTCACATTTGTTTCTCTTTGGATGCACTTAATGAATTTTGCTCTTTAGACTAAATGCTTTTATACTCCAGGAAAATAGTCTACAAAGTGACTTCTAATATACATTTTTGGCAAGAAAGGAATTAATGTTAGCTAGACCCTGTGGAATGTAAGGTATTAATGAAAGTACTGATTTAGTATTTGCAAAATTAAAGACATTTTAATTTCCTTTTCTTCTCCATTCTTTTCCTATAACTCCCTTTCCCTTTTTCACTTGTTTTCCTCTCTATGATGTTACCAGTAATCCACAACTTGCTATTAATTCATGAACCATAGAATTAATGTGTTCTTACTGTCCTAAGCATATCAATAGCTGATTATTCTTTTACTTCCTTGTTTGACTATCTTTGCTTATAATACTTATTTTTAAAATATCTCATTGACAATCAGACCTGCTGTCACTGAGAATCATAATCTTATACTTGTTTTCCAAATAATAATATAGTGGAAAATTGTCCCTGCGTATGCACGTGTTTTTAGAATAATACTTTTTGAAGTATATGAGCTCATTTAATGTTTCTATGTACATATCATTTGGGGATTTTTCTTTTTTAGACTACAAAGACAGTTGGATCAACTCAACAAACACTAGAAAGTATGTCTAACATAGCAGGAAATGGATCTTTTTCATCATCATCATCTTCTCACTTACCTTCTGAAAATGAAAAGCAGCAGCAGATTCAGCCCAAGGCATACAACCCAGAGACCCTGACAACTATCCAAACACAGGACATTTCACAACCTGGTACCTTTACAGCAGTTTCTGCGTCTAGTCAGCTGCCCAATAGTGATGCACTACTGCAGCCAGCTACACAGTTTCAGACAAGAGAAACTCAATCTAGAGAAGTGTTACAGTCAGATGGTACAGTGGTTAATTTGTCACACCTGACTGAGGCGTCACAGCAACAGCAGCAGTCACCACTACAAGAACAAGCACAGACTTTACAGCAGCAGATGTCATCAAATATTTTCCCATCACCAAATAGTGTGAGTCAGCTACAGAATACGATTCAGCAGTTGCAAGCAGGAAGCTTCACAGGCAGTGCCGCTAGTGGCAGCGGTGGAAATGTTGACTTGGTCCAACAAGTTTTAGAGGCACAACAACAGTTATCTTCAGTTTTATTTTCTGCTCCAGATGGTAATGAGAATGTTCAAGAACAGCTTAGTGCAGACATTTTTCAACAAGTCAGTCAAATTCAAAATAGTGTAAACCCTGGAATGTTCTCCTCAACAGAGCCAGCAGTCCATACCAGAGCAGATAATCTAATAGCTGGAAGAGCTGAAGGTGTTCATCCACAGACCGAAAGCACATTATCTAAGCAGCAACAGCAACAACAGCAACAGCAAGTGATGGAATCATCAGCTGCAATGGTGATGGAGATGCAGCAAAGTATCTGCCAGGCAGCTGCCCAGATTCAGTCTGAGTTATTTCCTTCAACTGCTTCAGCAAACGGAAACCTTCAGCAGTCTCCAGTTTACCAGCAGACTTCTCATATGATGAGTGCATTATCTGCCAGTGAGGACATACAAATGCAATGTGAATTGTTTTCTTCTCCTTCTGCAGTTTCTGGAAACGAAACTACTACAACCACCACACAACAGGTTGCAACTCCTGGCACTACCATGTTTCAGACATCAAGTTCAGGAGATGGAGAAGAAACTGGAGCACAAGCAAAACAGATGCAGAACAGTGTCTTTCAGACCATGGTCCAAATGCAGCACAGTGGGGACAGTCAACCTCAAGTTAACCTTTTTTCATCTACAAAAAGTATGATGAGTGTTCAAAGTAGTGGTACCCAGCAACAAGGTAATGGTTTATTCCAGCAAGGTAATGAAATGATATCACTCCAATCTGGGAATTTTTTGCAGCAGTCTTCTCATTCACAGGCTCAACTTTTTCATCCTCAAAATCCTATCGCTGATGCTCAGAACCTTTCCCAGGAAACTCAAGGGTCTATTTTTCATAGTCCAAGTCCTATTGTCCACAGCCAGACTTCTACGACCTCTGCTGAACAAATGCAGTCTCCAATGTTTCACTCTCAGAGTACCATGGCTGTGCTCCAGGGCTCTTCTGTTCCTCAAGACCAACAGTCAGCCAACATATTTCTTTCCCAGAGTCCAATGAATAATCTTCAAACTAACACAGTCACCCAAGAAGAACAGATTTCGTTTTTTGCAGCTCAGAACTCAATTTCTACACTTCAGCCAACATCAAACACTGAGCAGCAAGCTGCTTTCCAACAGCAGCCTCCAATATCACACATCCAGGCCCCTATGCTTCCCCAAGAACAGGCACAACCCTCCCAACAAGGTCTATTTCAGCCTCAGGTGTCCCTGGGCTCCCTCCCTCCTAATCCAATGCCTCAAACCCAACAAGGAACAATCTTCCAGTCACAGCACTCAATAGTTGCCATCCAGAGTAACTCTCCATCCCAGGAGCAGCAGCAGCAGCAGCAGCAGCAACAGCAGCAGCAGCAGCAGCAGCAGCAACAGCAGCAGAGCATCTTATTCAGTAATCAGAATACCATGGCGACAATGGCATCTCAGAAACCACCACCACCAAACATGATATTCAACCCCAGTCAAAATCCAATGGCCAATCAGGAGCAACAGAACCAGTCAATTTTTCACCAACAAAATAATTTGGCCCCAATGAATCAAGAGCAGCAGCCCATGCAATTTCAGAACCAGCCCACAGTTTCTTCACTTCAGAACCCAGGTCCTACCCAGTCTGAATCATCACAGACTTCCTTGTTCCATAGCTCTCCTCAGATTCAGTTGGTCCAAGGGTCACCCAATTCTCAAGAGCAGCAAGTAACTCTCTTCCTCTCTCCAGCATCCATGTCTGCATTGCAGACCAGTATAAACCAACAAGACATGCAACAGTCTCCTCTTTATTCTCCTCAGAGCAGCATGCCAGGAATCCAGGGAGCCACATCGTCACCTCAGCCACAGGCTGCTTTATTTCACAACACTACAGGAGGCACAATGAACCAACTACAGAATTCTCCTGGCTCATCTCAACAGACTTCAGGAATGTTCTTATTTGGCATTCAAAATAGTAAGAAACTCTTTCTAATTTCTCATTTCTTAAATGTCATTGCTTGAAATGGTCACATTATTATTACTACTACTACTACTACTACTACTACTACTACTACTACTACTACTACTACTAATAGAAGGAAGCAAAACACAGTCATTTTAAAAACACAGATTGTAGTAAGACAGAACTGAGTTCAAGTCCCAGCTAGACCACTTACAGACTGTGAGATCTTAAGCAAATTATTTGGCATGAACCTCAATTTCCATATCTAAAATGACGGTAATGTTACATCCTTGACAAGGATGTTGAGAGGATTAAATGTGGTAGTGCGTATAAATGTACGTGCCACTTTAAGCTATGAACTTGAAGTAAGAATGACAGAAAATATCTCAGCCAATTAAATTAGTTTCCAGTTAGGTAGTAACCCATCTCTAATGTTTATATGCCAAGGAAATTATATAGGATTTATTATGATAAGTAGGCAAAGTTGTATTTTTATACTGCTTAGAGGAAACCAAAGATGATTACCAGTACTGTTTGGAGAAGACTTTTGGGGGAAGACTGTCAGGTGGCTCACTCTTACTTGTCTACTGAGTGAACGCAATAATGACTTTCTCCCAGCAACTGATAAATACCTCCTTATGAATCTTACAGAAAGTAACTAATCAGGTAGCTTCTGTATTTTAAATGTCTCTGCAGACTGTAATCAGCTTCTAACTTCTGGACCAGCTGCATTGCCAGATCAGTTGATGGCCATAAGTCAGCCAGGCCAACCACAAAATGAAGGCCAGCCACCTGTGACAACACTTCTTTCTCAGCAAATGCCAGAGAATTCTCCACTGGCATCTTCTATAAACACCAACCAGAACATTGAAAAGATCGATTTGCTTGTTTCATTGCAAAACCAAGGGAACAACTTGACTGGATCCTTTTAACTGGATATGTAAGTATTACATCTTGGCTTCTTTCTTTTCGAAAAGCATCAGTAACTTTTATTATTATTAGCAGATTTGGGTTAAGTAATATTATTTAGACTCTGACCTTTTAAAATACAGCTTTCTCACAGGATGGTACTTTTTATGTAGCTTATGGTCGTACTGTTAATACTGGGCATTCCTCTGGTTCTAAACTTCTTTGCCTTGGAAAAACAGGAAATCTGATGTATGTATTATATATTGGATATAATTATGTCTCATTTCTCCCTTCCTCAAGAAATAAATAGAAAACTCTGCAGAAGTATAAATATGATAAAGTATCATTTGTAATACTGTAATATACTTTGGGATCATTCAGGGTAATAGGAACTTTATAAATGCTTTCTCTCCCTAGTGAGTTATATTAAATGTCTTCTTTTTTTTTAGAAATTCCGTGAAGAAAATCCGGATTCCAGGATGTCCTGAGATCTTGTGATTCCATGAGGATTACTGAACTGTTACTTTAAAAACAAAACAAAATAGGAAAAACTGTGATTGAGTAAATGGATAGATTTTACTCTGACTGCAAAAGAGCACACCCATGCTGCCTGTTGCAGTGATTGCCACCATTGTTAACATCTTTATATTTTATATTCCTAATATCAGTGATGACTGAGAATCTATCTGAGTTTCCAGATGACAGAATTAATTGTTGCTATTTTCCTAGGCACTATTTCTTTAAAAGTACAGTTTAATTTTAAAAGCTGGACTGCTCAGTTGTTATTGCTATTAGAGAATAATCCATATTGTCATGTTTACTTTTGTTCATCATTATTTTCTTTCTTGCATTGTTTTAGTCAAGTAACAGCTTTTGAAAAAGGAAAATTCAAATAATACCTAAGGCTGTGATTTTTCAATATAAAAAGCACAGCTATTGCCCAAAGTGAATCTTTTTTCAGTTTTTAGAGAGAAAAACTGAAGGGGTGACATTCTGACAAGGAAGCTGTACTAAGAGCTCTACACAGATAAGAGGCCTCTTTATCACAAAGGCAGACAATATACAAACTGGAAATAGCTGGAATGCTGTTGATTTTATTTTTCAGAGAGTCGTTAATTCTCTGAGTTTCTGTTAAGGGGTTTAGCCATAACTGTGCATAGAAAAATAATTATCTTGCTCTGTAAGAAATGAAGGGGATAATATATGGTAAATTATGTTCTGATATCCTTTAGTAGTTTAAACTGACACAGTAATTTGAGTCTGTTTTCTTCTTAACCCAGTCTTGGGCCAGTGTTCCTTTTTATATTCATCTATATTATTCTTCCCCTCTCTTTTCACTTTATTTTAGACAATTGGTAATATGCTCCTAGCTTTGGGACCCTGTAGCAACTTAAAGGAAAAGGCCACTTTGATCTGGGGTAACCCAACAACTCCTGCAGCACAGGTTGGGGATACCCTTTCAGGAATGAGGGGAGCTGATTCCTGAGAAACAAAAGCAGTGCATTTCCCCCCCCTCATGAACGGTGCTGTCCTGAAGTCTTCAAAATTTTCTCTCTAATAGGAAACTGTAAATTTTAATTAAAAAAAAAAAGACAAAGTAAAATTTCTTGAAACATCACTTCTCCCTGAGCTGCAGTGAGTGTAATTCACTTGTCACCTCAGTGCTTTACAGTTCGCAGTGATCACTTATCTGATGGTTCCCACAAGCCTTAGGCTTTACAAGGTCATGTCATTGACTTAAAATGAAGAATTAACTTGTGTTACATCTATGGAGAGCAAAATAACACACTCCAGAACTTGCAGTTGTAGCATTAGTTATACAGTTTTGGGTGTTCTCACCACCCATGGGATGCCTGCTTCTCACTACAACTTGTCTGGACACATGCTTATGTCTTATTTTCCTTTTGGCATGTAGAAAGCTACTAATACAGTTTAAGGCCAAATTATGTGTGGCTTCTATATGTAGATAAGATATTTCGGTATTCTTGTCTGTTTCATTTATTTTTTAAATGTACAAAAAATAGCCTGTTAATTGTTTGTTGAAGGCTACTTTTCTGTTTGTTTTTTATTTTTATTTTTTCTATCCTATACATTTAGTTAAACTTCGTGGAATTGTGGTGTCGGTTTTGTTTATCTAGCCAGATTTTTCCCCCTTTTTGTGATGATCTTCCTTGGTTCTTCGAATGTGCCCTTCTTCTAACTTTTTTTCTCTGTGTTCTCGTATATTCTTTCCTCCACCCCCAACCTTTCTTTCTTTCTCTCTCTAATTGAGAGGCATTGAATTACGTTTTCAGTAGTACAGGCTTCTTGCCGATATGAAGGGAACTTTTCAGAAAGAGACCTACTATGGGTCATTTAATTTTGAATACAGTTTTCAATCGTTCAAGTTTTGGATGGTTTATATCTAATGTGTGTTTCATTTTTTTGGAAAGCTATATTTTGTATTTAGGAAATGGTATACTATTTTGCTATTTGTACTAAGTGAGTACATTGGCATAAATATAGAAATTTATATATATACATATATATAAACTATTCTTTTTTTGCCACACATTTTTGTGGTAAATTTGTGAGTTTGTCTGATGTTCTACCACAACGTGGCGTCTGATAACAGTGAGGGGGGGTTTGTTATGTCTTTATTGAGTATTTAAGTATCTTTTGAAACAAATGACCTGTTCATCTGTAGCCATTCCATCAGGCAGTTCTTTGATGTTGTTAGTGGGCTAAAGGCAGCTTACTGTGTGTTTGCTGGATCTTCACTCAGCGAAATGTTAGAGTAAGGAAACCCATCTAGGCATTGTGTCAGATGGTGTTTCACAAGAATGAGCCATTCAGTCTTTGCTCACTATATATTTAATATTTTATTATTGTTGTTATTGTTATTATTAATTGGCTTTCTGTATTCTATGCCTTTTATTTATAAAGACACTAAAAAACCATGTTTGTAATTTTAATAACATTTTCCCCATCTTGTAATATCCAGAGCTACTTTATAAATTCTCTGAACTGAAAGCATTTTCTTCAATGTATCTCTTCTCTCCCCACCCCTATTGTGAAAAATTACCCAATATAGTTCAGGTTATGAGAAAGACCAGTCACACAATCTAATGCTTCAGTTTTAAAATGTAAAACTCTAACTGCTGAGGGGTGATGAATGTCAGAAAGCTTACCCAGCAGGTATAAAAATTAAGTAGACATAAAATACTATAAGTTTATTTCTGGGTTTTCTGAATATTTTTCTGAGTGATCATACGGGAGACTCAGGAAGTCTTGTTCACCATGTTCTAATTAGAATGTTAATTAGCAGTGGTGGCGGACTTCTGTTGTTTATCAAAAGGTTTATCATTGCAAAATGCTGATTCCAATGACAAGTCACCAGGGACCAATTTTTCTGTTATATAATATCTAAGTTTAGAACAGAACATACACCTGAACTGTAATGGTTGATTAGATGGAGACAGAAAACCCAATTTTTATTTTCATAAATTTTGTGGTTATTTATACAAGGGCTTTGCTATGCTACCATATTCTTATTCAATAATGATATGTGTGTGTGTGTGTGTGTTTTTTTTAACATTGTTAAATGTTTCTTACCCCTAAAGGTCAATGTCAAGTACAGCATTCTGAATATACAATTTGGTTACAAAAAGTATTTGTCTTCTTATTGAAGAGTTAGCTCAGTGGTCAGTGGTTGATACTTGTGCTACTAAATGCTGTTTCCAGATTACCGTTACAAATTTTAGCTACATATAAGAGAGACTCCCTGAGCCAGCAAAGGCCTCAGAAACAATTTATTAAATTTATTAATGGCAGAAGAACCTAAATACATTGTGAACCACATTTTATTTCTTTATATTATTACATTCAATTGTTCTTGCTTTTAGCAACTCACATTAATGCTTGGAGCTTATCTCTGTGTCTGTGTGTGTGTTGTATTCCTTATTGTCATTCCATTATATATCCATACCAACGTGGGAGGAAAAAAAGTCATATTTTGCTTCTGAGTTATATCATGTTACCTTCATAATTATGGTATCGTGATGTTATTTAGCCAATACAAGTCTTTTTTCACCAGTCTCCATAGAACATAGGTTGTTACTGAAGCAGTATTAATGAAGGAACTTCCTTCTTTCCTCGCTTCCTCTTTTTTTGTAGTATTGTATATCCTATAGTTGGGAATTTCATTATAGAACATTTCTTGCCCATCAGAACCTCAGTTAATCTGCCTAGGAAAAACAGTGTCCACGGAAATGAGTCCCTCTAGAACTAAGATGATAATTCCTTTTCATTATTTAAGCCATTATAGATTCTTGTTTTGGAAAAGTGAAATCTATTTAGATGCATCAGTAATTAAAGAACAGAATTAAATGCTTTAATAATCAAAGTCTCAAATTCAACATGATTTATAAGTATTCACTAAGAGTAAGTTGAGAATTTTTTACTTTTCTGATGAAATTTTCTGTTCAAATATCTGTTTCCTAGTTGATTTTTAAAATTTACTGAAAATGTATACATAAGACCTGATAGCTTTACTCTGCTTCATGACCACAGGCTTCATCCCTAACCAAGACAGCCACGTTGCATTCGCATGTCTTTGGTTATATGGAGGGACTTAATGAAAGAAAGAGACTATATAGTTCAGGAGCTTTATTAGAAAAATAACTCAGAGTATATACCCTAGTTAGTGGTTTAGTAGACTCTCATAACATGTATAAAAAGAGGTTTTCTCCTCTGCTTATTTGTATCACTTAGAGCTAAACTGTGGAGATAATGTTCATAATGCAGTAACTTATCAAAATAATACCTACAATATCATTTGTGGATTGTCCCAGGGCTCTAATTATTTCTTTAATCCCCATTTATTTTCATACCATTCTAACCTCATTTATTAATAAAATTCTATTTTTTACTCTACTTTCTCTTTCAGGAGAATTTTTAAATTCATATTTTATATCTAGATTAAAAGCTTCAGGGAAAGTGCCTTTTTACTACAATAGTGCCCTTTTTTGTAATTTCATTTTTCACTATTGCCAAAAACACATGAACAAATGATTCTAATAGGTCCCAACTTTCAACTTTTCCATTTAGTTGTTCCTTTCTCTTTTTCTTTCTTTTCTTTTTTTTTTTTTTCCTGAAGATCTAATTGGCATTATTAAGCAATTCATGAATCAGGCAGCATCCTATCTAGCAAATAGAAGGGTACAAGGGGTTGTATAAAATGGAAGAATTTTATAGATCACCATAGGAAACAATAAGTTTCTAACTCCCTTTGGCATAAGATTACCAGAATTGTTCTTTTAAGGGAGAATAAGTAAAAGATTACAGAATTACACTGTTTAGTTTTCAAATAAATTAACGAAATTTGTCTTCATCTCAACCAACTAATAATAGGTCTTACTGAAATGCTAATGAAAATTTTACTGTCTGTGAGACTCCATGCACACAAATGTGTGTAGTTTAATTTCAACAAGTGTTTAAAGCATCTTTTATTATCTTAATTAGATGAATGAAAATAAATCACAAACACATAATTTAAGTAAAGTCTGGTAATATCAGTTTTTCTAATCGACAGGGCCAAGTAATTAATAATAGTGCACTTCTTGCCCATCATAACCTCAGTGATCTACCCATATCTACCTATGAAAAATAGCATCAAAAGAAATGAAGAAGTTCTATCTGAATCCCTCCAGAACTAAGATAATTCCTTTCAACCAGATCCGGTTGAGTTGAGCGTCCCTCTGGTTTTCGTTACTTCTGCCTGTTCCAGCTTCTTAACACTGCGACGGTACCTGAAGAAAGGGCCATCAGCAACAGGCTAGGACAGTAGTAGTTTCCTCCTGTGTGAGTATTTCCATGCTTGTTTGTGGCACTGAAGACTGCAAACCTTTTTGCTATATTCATCATGCCCTATTGATAGTCTGCACTTTAATCATTCCAAAGAAGTCGAGAATGCTGTATAGTGATGATTCCTTCTTATTGAATGCATCTTAACTAAGAATATTTACTTTGGATAACAACTTGGTGTGAGTGTTATGTGAATATTTTCTAAAATGACTATAGTAAGACTTAAGACTTTGAAATGTTATTGACTATAAGGGGAAATGATTATACTTCAGAAAATCATTTTAGAAAGATTAGAATGTTAAGCTTGCTAATCTGTTTGACAGTTAATTAAAACCAGCCCTCTTCCTATATATTTTGTGTCATGTACATAGGAACATTATAGTATATTGTTTTCTACGTATACAGTATTTATAAACCAGTGGTTCTCAAAATATGGTCCTCAGCCCACCAGCCAACCCCAGCATCACCTGGGAACCAGTTAGAAATGCACATTCTTGCGCCCTATCCCAGACATACTGAATCAGCAACTCTGGAGTAGGGCCCAGCGCTGTTTGAACAAGCCCTCCAGGTGATTCTGATGCACGCTGAAAGTTTGAGAGCCACTGGTGTAAACTATTTACAGTAAGATCTGGAAGAGTGTTCTTTACCCCACTGATACAGAGTTATACATTGTTCTTTATATAAATTCGGCTTAACCTGGTTATCCATAATCCTTTATTGGCAATAATAATTTATTCTCAGTACTACCTATAGAAATACAGTATATTGTATGTATATACACAATTAGTCTAGTTATTGATAATTCAGTTAACTTAGTTTGGCATTTTCCTACTTACTAAAAAGTTTACAATAAGTGACCAATTTAAAGATACAGGTGCAATGTTCTATTTTTCTTTTGATTGTTATGACATTTAAGTAGCTACTATAATTGATAGGTGCTAAATTCTCCTGTTTATCCATAAAATGTGTACATTATGGGCAGTGATAATACAAGCTTTCTTTTTTTCATTGCCTCTTACTTTACCAGCAGACCACAATTTTGGTCTGGCTCGATCTCCTCTCAGAACAAAATTGTCATTCCTGTATTTATATTTGTATCTGAGATATTAAACAAAATGGCTGACTAGGTCAACAAAGCACCTTATTTAATTTTTTTATATATAAAACTTCTTTAAAAGTCTCTTGCTCTGTATGAGAACTGATGCAGTAGAGATAGAGCTATCCTTTGAACTTATGCTTCAGATAAAAGTTATTTACTAAAATATTAAGCAAGAAAATGAATTATATAATTTGGGCATTTCTCTCTTGTCAATGTATGCATCATGGTAAATATAAACTAACCACCAGTAGATTTATTCATTCATTTTAATCTCTCTGTGTAATTCATTACCTCCATAATTGTTCTAATCTTCCACTGTTTAGAAATTGTTAATTAACTCATGAAAGAAAAATGCACTCACTTCAAAATAAAAACAATTGTATACTCTATAAAAATCACCACTGCTTAATACTAGCAGTGGAAATGTAAGTGACTTACTCTACAAACTTTGGTGCTGGCAAAAGTTTAGGCAAACTGTTGGGAGATGCTTTAGCTACATTCCTCCTTTCTTGTTCTCTTTCCTCTCCTCTTTCCTCTCTTCCTCACTTGATTGCTTGATTTATTCCTGTACCCAAAGCATTCTACCACAATTCTATTCGACTTCAACTTGTAGTTTCTCCTTTAAAAGCCCCATGTTTAAGCCTCAGATTGCTCCTGCTTTTTTTTTTTTTTCCAGAAGTAATTTGCCTGGTTTGAATAGTTCGTAGGGATCACTTATTGTTTTAGCTAATGAACCTCAGGATAACACACACACACACACACACACACACACACACACACACACATCTCAGATGTTTGAGAGTGGGTTTGGAATCAGACTAATGTGTACAGTAAAGAGCTGTCCCTCACTGAAGTATTTATGACTTTAGTGGCTGCAAACTTATTCCAGTGACATTGAGCTAATTTCTTTTCATCAAATGAATGTATCTGCTCACTTTGTTCCCTTCTGTTGATAAGCTCTAAGTAGTTGCTACTTTTTTTTGACAACTTTTACTTAGTCTTTCTAATAAATATATTACAAGTATTTTGTTAACCTGTTCTCAAGTGGTTTAGCTACCATTCTGCCATTTAAATTTTTTAAATTTTATTTTATTTGCTTGAGCACACTGATCAACCACTGAACTGCCTTCTTCCATTGTCCTGCAACGACACAAGGGTTGCATTTTTTGTGCATATGGCTTTCATAGTCAGGGTTGCAGAGCACTGACAACCAGATATTTTCAGTTTGTTCTCTGGGGGAATTTCATTTGCATCTATGTTTTTAGCTATCTGTGATAACTTGTTAAATATTAAAAAGATATTTTGCTTCTATTGGAACATTTGTATACTCGCAAGTATATTTCTGTAAACAGCTGCAGTCAAAAATAAAATATGAAAGTTTTCATTTTGCAGTGGGTAACTGTCTCTTTTCCTCAAACTTTGTGAGTAAATTTGTATCTGTAAATGTCAATTTTGAGCAGCATGAGAATGTGGCTGAAATTATAAAATCATTAGGAAAATGTATGAGATATAGAAATATTTTCAAGTAGTTACTTTGTCCCTACTGTTTTGCCAGGCAGTGTACAAAGCGACTTAGTGTGACAGAATTTTTGTTTGCTTTACTTAGTATGTTTCATGCTTAGTAAAATGGTACAGACCATGGCAGCAAATCATGTAGCATGGAGGTGCTTTTGATGAAAACCAAGTCTCCCTAAGCCCTTAGTCCCTTTTCTAGAGGCAATCTCTTTTATTTGGGAGGCAGTTATTTCTACATATATACATTAGTTTTTACCAGACTGTAATTCATAACACTAATGGTACTTAAAATGATTTCAAATGACACATGGGTAAACATTATTTTTAAATATAATATGTTTTAATGTGCATTAGAAAAAAATATAATATGCACATCTGCTAGACTTTGGAGGAATGTGAGTCAAATTAAAAAAATTAAATTCTAATACAGATAACATGGATATCATGAATATGATATATAAATAACAAGTTTTAGAAGCACTGCTTTAGATAGAATGTTTATACCTTCTTATCAAACATAGACCATGTAAGAGACTGAATTTTTCACACATCCAAACACGTATGTGTAAATAAGTTGTCACTTTAGGAAGGGACACGCACATATTTATTTTTCAACAATGCTTCCATTGTTCAAAATATATTTAAAAGTTGTCTTTTGACATTTATTGACTTCAACAGCATTGGAAAGGAGTAATAACCAACTGGAATTTATTAAGTATAAATATCAAAAATATTTTGTTCCAAAAAACAGTCTGTGTGGGCAAAAGACTGATCTGAAGATCAGACTACAAGTGGCTGCCAGAAAAAGCTGATGCAATCCTGGGTCATATACCTTAAGTTACAGCGTCTAGAACATGGGAAGTCGTCGTCATGCTTTATTCCAAGCTGGTAAGAGTACTACTCTGTCATCTCGTAAGAAGCAAATTCTCAGCAGCCATGAAATCAGGCCTGTAAGAACTGGAACATCATTTATTCCTGCTCAGGATGCAACAGGGACTCTAGAAGTATAAAGCAGGTACAGTTTCTCAACAGCAACACTTAATAGTCTTGCTCTCAGGAAGACATTGATTGCTACGCTTGTGCTCTGTGTCATGGTGCCATGGTTCCTGCTTCTAAACGGAGGCAATATAATATGGTATATAAAAGCGTAGCCCTTGAGTTTGCCTGCTTAGTGTTATGGCTCCTACACCTACTATTTAACCTCTCCATTCCTTAATTTATCTATAAAGTGGAAACGAAAATAGAACTCTCCTCTTAGAGTTGTTGCAAAAATTAATCTGTGTGAAGTTCCTAGTAAGTATTACTTTGTATTAGTATTTCTAGTCCTGATGTTGCTCTACTCTTCTTTCTCTCATGCACTGGATCCCATATCCTTTTGATTTTTCAAAGACATATTCCTTTAATTGTCCCCTCTCTCCGACATCAGAACCTTTTCTAAGAGTCATTCTCACTGGCATATAAATGGCCCTTATCTCTTAAAAAAATCAAATAAATAACTCTTTGACTGTACCCCCCCTACACACACACACACTATTTCTACTTCCTCTCCTTCTATTCTTGAACCCATTCCAATCAAGCTTTCATCACACCGCTCTACTGAAATAGTTCTTATCAAAACCACCGATGGCCTCCCCATGGCCTCATCCAAAGGTCAGTTCTCAGGCCTACCTTACTTGGCTTCGCCGCAGTATTTGACGCACTTGATCACTCCCTCCTTGAAATGTTTTCTTCACTTGGCTTTCGGGATACCACATAGCTCCCTTGCTTCACTGGCCACTCTTTTTAATTCTTATCTTGACCTCCTAACATTGGAGAGCCCTAGATGTCAATCGTTAGATCTCTAGTATAACTCAATTCCTAGGTGATCTCATCCAGTATCGTTGCTTTATATGTTATCCATATGTTGAAAATTCCCAAATGTCCATCCCTAGCCATAATTTCTCCTAACTCCAGGTTTCTGTTATCCAACTGCCTGTTCGACAGCTTCGCTTGGCTATCTTAATAGACAAACAAAATGTCCCAAGTCAAATTTTGACTTCGGACATTTTTTCCCCGCCCCTCCAACTCCTGCTCCTAATTCTGTTTCCAGATTCTTCCTTAACAAATAGAATTTCCATTTTCTAATTGGCTTACACCAAAATACTTTTATGTTCTTTTTTTTAATCTGACCTAGATCCAATTTATCATCAAATCCGGTTACTTTGACCTTTGAACTATATCCAGAATCTAACCACTTCGCAACACATACTATTGCTGTCATCCCTATTTGTTGCCTAGATGGTCACAGCGGCTTCCCAACAATTCTGTTTCCATCGTTGCCACTTATACTTGATTCCTCACATACCAGCCAGAGTTAAACATAAGTCAGATTGTTACACCTCTACTCAAAACCCACCAGCAACTTCCTATCTTTACAGTGATACCATGCTGATAAGGTCTCATATGATCTGATTCCAGCTATGTGTCTGACCTATCCTTCTCTTCCTTTCTCTGCTTTAGTAACTTCCTTTCTCTTCCTCAAACTCTAAGCATGCCCCTGCCTCAGTGGTGCACTCACATCACTCCTGCCCAGAATGCTCTTCCTTCAGATATCTACATGCCTCACTCTCTCACTTTATCTGGTCTTTGCTCTGATGTAGCCTTAATGCATCCCATCACTGACCTTCCTACTCTGCTGCTTCTTTCTAGCATTTCTCACTACTTGACATAATTGTTCATCTATTGTTCTTCACTAGAATGCAAACTCCATGAGTGCAGGTACTTTGTTTTGTCCATTGCTGTGTTCCCAGTGCTTAGAAGAGTGCCTAGCCTACTGACAGGATAAATCTGAATAAATCGGGCAAATCAGAATAAATACTGCCCCTTGGCATTTGTTTACTGCATTCTGTTTTTCTCGATTTCTTTCAATGTCCTTTAAATTCCAAGAGGATATTAATCAGTCGTTCCATTACCATTTGGTATGAAGCAGCCCTTTCGGGCAAACGCTCAAGCCAGGTCGCCTTATAAGCGTCTGGCTATAATTTATTATAATCTGAATCCTCTCCCTCTGTGTTCCTCAGTAGATTCTGCTTTTGCCTGAATGCCTCTATCACTAGCTTCACTGAAACCAATCAGTGTGATTTTGTTTTGTAGAAATGAATTTTATTTCGTTTGGAACTTTTAGAAATTTACACAGAATTGCAGTGAGGATGAAGGCAAAAGGAAATATTTTCAAACTGAAGCACCAAGCCATCTACCATTGTGGTATTGTAGTGGGAAAAATACCCAATATTTGTTGGCATCTGGCAAGTAAGTGAGGGTTTCCTGCCCGACGCCATCTTTTCCTTGGCAGGTACGAAGCTATTCCCAGTTTCAGACAACCTTGCTTTTTGCACCATTTCTTGTGTTTTCTTCCCATGCACCACAAGAGGGCAGTCTTTCATCATATTCTATTTGAATTATACCAACAGTGGGTAGAGCTGCACCTCAACGATTTAAATGAAAGTTAGAATATCATGCCAAAATTGTTCACCAAAGCGAATGAAACTCTAGGCTTACAATTTTATCCCAAAAATTATAGAACCAAAACACATGCTTAAAAGGAAAGTAGTCGGTTTAGCAATGGTATAGAAAAAAACCTTTCAGATGGTTATATAAATATAAATAAAGCATTGGTTATGAAAGGCTATTTTCAAGTATTGGGGGTTTTTAAGTATTTCCTTCCTTGAATTCATTCACTGCAGCAGATGTTGTATACAGGTGTGTTGTTTTATTTCTGCAGACATTAAAATAGAAGATTGAGGTAAAGAAGAGACTTCAATTAGCTTTTTATTTCAAGGTATTACTGTATACTATACACAAAAAATAAAGTTGAAGGAAGAGTAACACGTATTAGGCATATTAGTCACTGAGTAGCAATTAAAACCAATATATATCACAAACGAGCATAGATTACTCACTACTAAACAAGTCCCTTGGATCAGACAGGTAGCGTCATTTCTTTTCTCTGGGCAATTCCCTTCTGCCATAAACCACAGAGAGGTAATTAAAAGAAAAACAGATCATCGAAGAGTTGGATGCTTTCGAGCCAGATTTAGCCCTAAAAATTTATCCCTAAAAAGAAGGATTAAAGTGTGTAGAGGGCCTTAGAGAATATTGTCTGGCATCTTTCTATACCTTTCCCTGCTTTACATCTTAAGTGGCCTCTTGAGCCTAATCAGATTTTGCCATAATAGCAATTACAAGAAACAGCTATGTTTAATAAAACTATACCAAAATGTATGAATAAAGTCTATTGTCTCTCCTATTCATTCCTTGTAAAGAAAGAAAAACACAAATCTCAAAAACAAAAGCAAACCTGCAAAAGAAACCTAAATTTGGCTACATTTTAGAAGGAAATCAAGTCTTGTGAATCATTCCTTGGCTTTGATCTGGTTGTCAGTTGGGATGGACTTGCCCAAGTGATGGCCCACAGAAAGGCCAAATTTCTTGTTTTTTTGCTCTTCCTGCACCTTCTTTTTCATTAAGAATCCTGCCTGGAAATTTAGGTCAAAGAAACTACTTGGAACAAAATACAGTGGAGTCTCATCCCAAATATTCTCCAGGCGTTTCTTCCATTCTTTCAGGATCTGAATTCGGGTATCTGCGGGAGTGTGCCCAATGCCGTATATCAGTTGAGGTTCTAAGACTTGGAAGCCACAGAAATGCAAAGTTCCACTCTGGAGACATACAAGGTAAGGAGGTGAGTCACAGAACAAACCCTATACAGCTTGTACCATATACAAACAGCAAAGGTTAATCTTGGTTTCCCAATATGACACTGATGTGGAGGCCTGAGGCCTCCTGGAGAATCAGTTCAGAGCTGTATTCTCTCACCTTCTGCTCTCTCTACCTAGCTGTTACCTATTTTAGCCTATTCAGCTGTGTCCTTTATATTAATAAAACCTTGAAGCTGTGCCAGCCTGAGATCCTCTGCCAAAAATAACAGTTCTATTACATAAGGGAGAGTTTTGGTTTCTTGACAGCTGACTCTTGCCAAGGAATGCAGATGTGCATTTCTCTGCCTCTCCGTATAGCTAGATGAGTTTTAATAAATAAGCCTTACCATTTATTCTCCTATATTAATAAATTCTCCAATATTATAGGTGGCCACCCCATTGGCTCTTCTCTCCAACCCTCTTCCTTAGGAGAGATTATCTTGAAAGTCAAGTGACCACCAAAAAGCATACTTCAGAGTTTAGTTTTACTAGCTGAACTAAAGCATTTCTTAAATTTAGGGTGGAGAGGCTCTAATATCTGTGACATTGTAACAGCAACTTGGAGAATGGCAGGAAGATTGGAGAGATGTCAGTCATCTGGAGAGAATCAGACCACATGGCCATACAAATCTAGGGGTGATCTGCACTGGTCATTGGTTGGGAGAGAGTGGTGCGTGGACACGTGTAAGCACAGGGGCCTGGGAAGACAGGTAAGTCTTAAATGGAAGCTCTCGACAGTTCTGAATCATTACTGTGCTGTGTTCAGTTTCTATCTTGAGGATTTGGACCCTATAGAAAGCTCATCTAATTAATCCCCTGGAAGGTTCATTGAAAATGAGGTACCTGAATTGGCCAGAGAAGGATATTCATGTCCCCGTGAATACCCTGCAGAGAGTACATGGAGCTGCTGCCACCAGTGGTGATGGAAAGTACTGCCTTCTTATTCTGTCAAAGAAAAGTCATTACCCTCCACATCTCCTTAGTGGCAGGGAGTTAATGAAACAGCCCCAGGGTAAACAACTGACAAGTCCACTCATCTGCTATTCGTGTTCTGAGCCACGCAGGATGACTCTGCAGGAGTACCAGCCTGGAGAATGGTACAACAGACTGGTAAACAGGGGCAACCTCCGTGTGGCACTCCTGGGTGTGGCAAATCAGGCGAAGGTTGTCATGGAAATGCAAAATTGGTGTTGACTGCTGGTGCCTATGGGGAGTTATTTGTTTACTGTTTAATTCTGTCTCCCCATAGTGCTAGGCATGTATTTAGGCATGTAATCAGGCATGTAATCTAGAAGGTCTCAGCATCTTTTCATGTAATATTTTGGTCTCTGAAAAACGAAAGCAGACTATTTTACGATGGAAAATTTCAAACATAAAAAAATAATGCAGTTGACCTCTGAACAATGCAGAGGTTTGGGGTGCCCCCAGTCAAAAATCCACATGTAACTTGTGACTTTCCAAAAAGTTACTTACTAATAGGCTGTCTGTTGACCAGAAGCCTCACCAATAACAAACGTTTGATTAACATGTTTTGTATGCTATATGTGTTATGTACTGTATTCTGACAATAAAGGAAGCTAAAGAAAATATCATTAAGAAAATCATAAGGAAGAAAAAGTACATTTACAGTACTTACTGAAAAAATCCGTGTGTAAGTGGACCCATGCAGTTCAATCCCGTGTTGTTCAAGGGTCAAATGTGTGATGATACATCCACTACCCAGCTTCAGCTCTCGGTATTTGCCATTCTGGTTTTATTTAATCCCCCTGCCCCTTTTTTTTTTTCCTGGAGTATTTTAAAGCAAATTCTAAACATCATGTCAAAATATCTATTAAAACTTTATTATGCATCTCTCTCAAAGGGACTTGGAGCCTGATCTTAGTATCTACTTATGCTCAAAACTCTGCCTCAGGACAGAATCTACCCAGAACCCAGAAAAAGCAAAATCATTCACCTACCTGGAAAGGTCCCTTGTCATACATGGCATTGTATGTGTAAGCAAACTCCCCAACGAGCACGCGCTCAAACCAGCCTTTCAGGATAGCAGGAACTCCAAACCACTGCAGTGGGAACTGTGGGACAGAAGACAGAGTGGCAGGATCAGGAACACACACAGCACACGAGAAGGCTCAGGCCCCTTAGCCGCTGCCCATGACCTCACTGAGGGGCGCATCTTTCTTCTGGCCCTGTCATTCCTTTTGAAGGAGTTAGTACATTTAAAGAAAAGTATCGCCCTTGGTCAGTCAACTTGACACTCCTGTTTCACCTAAAGGTAGAAATATCAAGTGGATCTGAAGAAGGCCACATGCAAATAAGATTTGTTCCTATGAAATCACGTTTAGCAATGAGGTCTAAACAGCAAGGACCACAGACAAAGTGGTCCTTAGATGTGTGATGCCTAAATCAATATTTTCTCAAGAGCTTGCTTTAGTAGGTGTGGTATCAAAAATACAAAATATGTACCTTGTGCTCACGGACATAAAATCTTATCATTTAGAATAAACAGAACCTCTCAAGTTTATAAACAAATAATCAGTGTAACTAAGGTTTAGCAAGGAGTTCCCATGACTCCTTGGGCCTTTTGTCCTGATAAAGCAGAGCCAGAGCTATACCAGTATGTCTTCTCCTTGATTCACGATTTAAAGGCAATGACAACTGGGACAAACCCAGAAGAGAAAAACAAGGACACAGAAGGACTCTTTAGGACTTGGCAGCTTTTTCTTTGAAGGGTTGCTGACCTGCAGGAAAGGGACTAAGGAAGTAGGGTTTTAGAACAGAAGAGACAAAGGATTAAAAGTGGGAGTTGTGTTCTCACCCTAAATCTGTCACTAACTTGATACCTTTGCCACACAAGCCCCAGACCTTCTCTAAGTTTCATTTGCTCATCTGTAAAAAGAGGGGCTCGAGGGATCTCGATCAGCTCCTCCTCTCTTCTCACACGATGACCCTCCAGTTGCAAGGGGCCGGATCTGCAGCTTTCAGGAAAAGTAAGTACATTGTTTAGGTGAGCAGGTTTGCTTCCCTGCGCATGTTCTGCAGGCAGAGTTGAAAATAGAACTGGGCAGCTTATAGGGCGTTAGGAGTTTACTCTCCCTCAAGTTGTTTTTGGAGAAGTAAACTGAGCAGAAGGTTAGCCCACATGGCACCTTGGTATGAATTAAAGCACTCCTTCCTCAGGACACTTTATTTCCATGTTGAGAGACTATCTTACATAGTACACTGATTTTTCTAAAATAAGACTTTTCCTGTCATTTGTCGGGAAACTGTTACAGCAAATACACAAATCCCCAGTTGTGTACAATGCCGTTCAGTATGTTGCTATTTTGCAGTGTACAACCCGCATGGTTGTACTGACAATAAAGAAAACTTAGGCATCGAATAGAAACTAAATTCAAGACTACTAGGTTCCTTCCTAATTCTAACATACATATGGTGATTCTGAGATGCATAATTGAAAGCTGCTACTGCTGCTGTCTTGGCTGCACTAGAATGAGATGCAGCAGAAAACGTGAACCAAAAAGGCATCCCTGTGGCAACTGACATGTGGCTGTGGTTCACAGCAAGAAGCATAGGGTTAAAATAAGACTTCAAAGGTTGGATTCTTTGCAGATGATTGAACAAATGCAAAAACCACAGCCACTATCACCCTTTTGGGGACATTTCCAGGGTCATATACTTTGCATGTTCAAGATCAAAAAGCTAATTGGAATTAGTAGAAGCAAAGTCATTGAGTACAGTCTGACATTTTCCAAAAAAGATGACTGACAAGAAGTATACACATTTCCAGTACCGACTGCTAAATGGCGAGGCAGCTTCCAGAAGAAAAGCCACAGTTTGCTGCTGGAACACACACAGTAAGCAGGACAATGCATGTCAACTGGGATGCTCCCACAGCAGAGAAGCTGATCGCATGCATCACTCCACAAACAGGTCAGGATGCTTACAGAGATGGGGAGAATCACAGACTTTGAGAGATTCCATAGAGAATCACTAATTGAAAAAAAAAAGATTAAATACACTGGGGAAAAAAAGCTTCAGACTCACACGTCATCTTTGCAGTCACATTCCTATTTTCAAAGAGTAATACAGCCAGATTCACAATATCTGTAAATTCGTGTAATGCTGCACCTTTGAAGTAATCACCCTTTTTTATAGAGAATGCAGTCCAGGGGGTAAGTGACTTACCTAAGCACACATAGCTAATTAGGTGACAGGTCTAGGACAATAAGAATTCAAGTGTCCCGACACCCCTTCTGATGTCCTACCACACCTGAAAAATCACAAGGTCTGCAGCTTCCAGTTTCTTTTGTTCAGCCACAATATCTGGGCTCAGACAGCCTTCTTTATAAGCTAGGAGAGTCTCGGCAGTATATTGAAAGTTCTCAGGGTCCTTCAGTTTACCTGCAGAGAGGAAAAAGAGAGGCTGAGGCCATGGGGCCAAGCCGAGGCCAGATAACCCACAGGCAAGAAGTCCCACAAAGACCTAATTAAAGCAGGGAGCTGCTCCTACCTGTGATGTCCTTTCTGGAGATTACAGGATTGAAGTTCATGGCATACAGGTCCGACACAGTGACCTCCCATCCTTTCCTCTTCAAAGTCTCTACAGCAGCATCCTTCATGGCATAGTTGAAGGACGTCTTCTCTGCATGAGCCAGTATGATCAGTGCCTTTCTGGCTATTTAGACACACACAAGGCACATGGAGAAAATCAGTCACCAACCAGCAAAGCTTCAGCTGCATGAGAGCTGAACCGAGATTTATAAGGGAAGAGGTGACTTTGTTAGACATTAGGTTATGCCACCCAGCCACTGCAGTCAGATATAGGTTTTCTCCTTAAAAGTCCAGCAAGTAACAGGCATTTGAATTCGGTGGGAAAACAGAGACTAAGTTGATGTAGTAGCTACCCTGATCAGGGAGGGCACAGAGGGGCTTCTGGGGCGCTGGCAATGTTCTATATCTTGATTTGGGTGGTGATCACACAGTATGTTCAGTTTGTGAAAATATGCTTAGAACTCGTGTACTTTTCAGTGTCTATTGTATTCAATAAGATTTTTTTATTTTCTGACAAATCTCAATTTAATCGTTTTAGAATTAAACATAAATACGCAAAACAGAAATCACCCAATTTTTTTCTTTTTTCCATTTTTTTTAAAATTAATCAATCAATTAATTATTTTTTTTTTTATGGTGACATTGGTTAACGAAATCCAGTAAGTTTCAGCAGTACATTTTAACAGTAAGGCATATATATATTTTCATTGTGTGTTCACCTCCCATAGCTAGATTTCCTTCTGTCACCACTCATTTGACCCCTTTTACCATCTACCTCCCCACAATAAGTTTTTATTTTTAACTATCCTACTGACGCACCACATGTAGCAATAATTTATTAGCAGATTACAGACTTAAATTTTTAAAAATAAAACTATGAAAATAGTATGGGAGGAAAGGGAGAATGTGGATAAGGAAATGTTTGACAGATAAAGCCACGTTAAAATTAAAAACTTGTGTTTACTAAAAGGCACCGTTAAACAAAGTCAAAAGACAATCAATTAGGAGAAGATATCCACAATTCTTATCACAAAGAGTTAAAATCCCAAAGAATGCCTACAAGTAATTAGAAGAGAGACAAGGCAATAGAAAAACAAGTCAAGGATATGAACACTCTTTGCAGAGGAGAAAATGCAAATGACAAACAAATGAGAAAGTGTGTGGCCTGGCCAGTCAGAAAAAGCAAATTAAAATGAGATATTATTTACCTATCGGACTGGCAAAACAGTTCAAGACAAGCTGAGGGCTATCAGGATTACAGAAAACTGGCACATTGCCAGTGGAAATATAAACTGCCTCAGTGTTTGGAGAAAGTAATCAGGCTGAAGATCTTAAAATTTTAAAGGCACATAAATCTTTGATCTAGCTGTCCAACCCGGGGGAATCTGTTTTACAGACTGAAAGCATCAGGACATAAGGACATATGAGCAAGGATGTCTACTGCATCATTCTTTTCATTGGCAAAAATTAAATATTACCCAATTGTGTATTTATGGGGAACAGCTGAATAGATTATGGCACACACATACTACAGAATATGAGTCAACTACACAAATTGACCTAGAAAGATATTCATGGTATATTGTTAACTGATAAAATGAAGTGAATATGAATCCATTTTTATAAAAAACAAAGAGAGTACACATATGTAGGTAGATTTGCAGTATATTGGTATGGGGGAAACACATGGAATGATCATATGAAACTATTAATAGTTTTCTTAGGTAAGTAGGAGATGGCAAGGGGGTAGAGGCAGAGGGGAAAGATAAACTTTTTCTTGGACTTCCTCTGTCTTAATAAAGTTGTTAGAATAAGCATGCCTTCCTTTTGCAATAACAGCATTTAGTGGCTGCTTACTACATGCTACATACCGCTCCAAGCACTCTGCATTCTTTTTCGATTGTCATGGCAATCCTATGAGGTAGACGTGACGAGTATCCCCATTTTATGGATGAGAAAACTGAGGCACAGAAAAGTTACTACACCCAAATTTATGGAGCAAGTGATGAAGCTGGAATAATTTCAAAATATATAGACATAGATAAATCCATGCAACAATGTGGGGGGAAGCGGGGTGTACCAGAGACAGGACGTTTACTACCACCATTTCTCCTAATAATTGGTGCCACTATTTCATACCTTGCTAACTCTTAACAGGGGCGACGGTGGGTGGAGCTGGAAGAGAAAGCACCTGCAACTTTTTTGTCTTGTTTGAGGAAAATTAACTAGAAAGGCACATTTAAGCCTTCAAGTCTCCGCCTGCTTTTTTTGTTAACCCCACCTGGCATAGGCAGCTCCTATCAGGTTAAATTCAGCCAGGTTTCAGTTTCAAGACCCAGCACACCAAAAAAGAGGATTTCCAAGCTTGCTCCTGGTGTTTCTGGCTCTATGAACTCAGATTCAGTGGAATATAAATTTGATGAGAATCTAAATGCTATAGAAGTGATTTATCTGCTTTGGAAGGCCTGGGGAAAGGGAAAGAAATTCCTGAGGCTGTGTCAAATTCTCACCCCCTTGCTTATCAGATCAACTCTCGGACTTAACACTGCTGGGAGAAATGTGAGTACATTAAGCTCTAACATGCATTTTCTTTGTGATCTACCTTTGCATTAATCATATCAAAGTTTACTGAAGTCTGCTTTGTCGATTTTTATTCTCTTGGCTTGTTATTTATATGCACATATATATATTATTTACTTATCAATATTAACAAGCATTTCCTAAGTAGTAAAACAAATGTGCTTCCCAGAAAATGAGGAAGTCAGGATATCTATCTATGCCTTGCTTTCAAGGAACTCACCATCTACTAGCTATAAGCATGCCTATTTATTGCCTTCAAAAAATAAAAAATAAAGATGAGACACAAGCAAGAAGACTATATTAATAAGAAATATAAGCAACAAAGTTTAATATCTGGAATATATAGATTCCTAAAGCAACCTAGTATAAAAATAGTCAAACAACCCAGAAGAAAAATAGGCAATTAATAGAACATTCATTTGCAATTACCAGACAGTCATATTTATTTGCCAGGGCTAAAGGGTAAATCAGGAGATTTAATACCCAACCCAATAAACCCGAGTCACTAGTTCTGGGTCATTTTTCATGGACAAACCTGTGTTTTTTAGACCTGGAGTGTCCAGTTTCCTTTCTGCCACTTAATTCGCTACACAATACGTTAAACTGTCTCAGAATTTACCTGAAGAGAGGCAATTAAACACGCAAATAACCAATGACATTAGCCTGATAGGAGACGCACAGGACAGTTCACAGGGGAAAACTGTTTTCATTAGGGCTGGCCGATTAGGAAAGACTTTCAGAAGGAGCTGCCATTTGTCTTGAAAGACAAAATGAGAATATTATCAGTACCTGTAGTTTAAAATTCATTTCTGCTTATGCATGTCATTTGCCTACCCAATAAAAGTGACTGTATCTAACAGAACTAAGTATCTCTTTGTTAATGCTTCTCTCTCTCTGCACTGTTTCATTTTCAGATCTCAGTCCCTGCAAAATCTGCTCCCAGTTCATTCCACTTCTCCGTGTCCTGAGGGCCCTCGTTCCTTCCCCACCATCCCACGTCTTCTATTTCCAACCCAAGTACATGCCAGCGAACTTTTCTTTCTCCCCCTGAAATGCTCATATTCACACTAACCCATCCTTGCCACTGTGGTGTTCACTGAGCTATGTGCCAGGCACTGCTCTGAGCGTTCCAGAGACTCCAGTGCACAAAAGACACAAATCTTTCTCTTTGTGGAAAGTACATTCTAGTAGCCAAAGCATCCTGACCGTCCCCTGGGAGCGGACCTCTGTGCCCTGTTGCTCTGACATTCCTATAATTCTCTGCCTTTGACCTCAGGCCAGTCTGAAACTAGGAATTTTCACTAACCTTTCAGATTAAACTGTACTTTTGTCAACCCTCTGTTTCATAGAACTTGACCAACATAGAACTTAATGACAAAATAAAGACAGAGCTGACAGAGAAAGGAAGGGACTGTGGTACGTCGACTCTTTAATGTAAAGCATGTCTAGATACCTTTAGCAGTAAAAGATATTACCCACAGGATCGTTTGGGCAGAAAGAATAAGCTATCAAGGAAAATCTGTTGGAAATATAAGGGCAGGCCCTCAAATCAGTTTCCTATATCCTGCTTCTGCCCTCCAGGCTCACTGGATTCTTCAAGGAATGTGTGGGAGAGTCAGACATCTTTTGGTTGCAAACAAATGCTTTGGATGCTTCACTTAATCTAAGATTTGGTTAGCTGGGTACAGCTAATGTTACTTATAGACGTTCCAAAGCTTCTCGTTTTCCCTCATTAACTCCCCCCACCCCACTTTCCGTCAAAGTGACACATAAATACTGAACGTTGTGTAGGATTGGAAAAAGTTCTTGCCCTGACATTGCAGGTGGGGGTGCCGGCGCCCTCCGGAGAGCTGAAGAACGAGTGGTGGGAAACATGCATGCAGGAAGCCTTGTGAGCTACCCTGCAGCCTCTCCCAGGCGCCTTTGCGCCCGGCCCCTGGAAACGCCAGGAGGGCGTTCCAGGCCCCAGCTCCGCCCTTTCCTCAGAGAGTCTGTCGTCTTTTGACTGCGACAGTAATCTCTTTCTCCTATTTACTTTTAGCAAGATTAGATCCAGTGTTTTGGGGGAAGGAAAACTAGGTGTAGAGGGAAGGAAATTTCAAAAAAGGAGTTCAGCCCTAGTTGAGAAACAGCTCTCTACATTTTGGCGCCGTCCAACCTCATCAGAGCGAGGCTCTCTGGAAAACAGCTCCCAGCCCCTGAAAGGGTTGCAGCTGGTCATGTGCCTGATAAAGTTGTGGTGACCGCTAAGGTCCTCTCAGGATGATGGTGGAGAGAGGAGGCTCTGCCACTAGAAATGGGCAATACCTGATCAGGTTTGCCCAGTCCAAGGGTCACCACTGAAAACGTCTCCTGAGCCCGGCAGCCTGGAGCTGGTCTAGTCTCTGTCCAAGAACTAAAGGGAGCAGCCTCCCCAGCTCCAGCGCACCCATCGTCGGATCTTACGATTTTCCTTCAGAAGCTGGGAAGCCATATCTTTAAGTGAAATCACATCTATTTTTATTTTAAATATTATCAATTTATTCCAAAATGATTTAAATACTATGAAGTCTAAAGTGGGACAGTGGGCCAGCTCTGACCTCTGACAGCCGGTTTCCGACGTGTTTTAGAGGGAATATTTTGCTTCCAAGATCACTCTCTCTGAAACGTCCACCCGAATTTGTGGCAGTAGGGTAGAAACAGGAGTGCCTCTCCCGGCGTCTGGTCAGGGCTCGTCCTGTGACCCTCATGCTTTCACTTTTCCAATTTTGAGTCAAGGAAGAAAACTCAGGGCCGAGCCCCTACAGACGCCGGCTGAGAGGAATGAGGACTGGGGGCTGCAGGCTCCCCAGGGGGACACTCACCTGTCATGGCTCGAGCGGCGTGCTGATTGGCTGAGCTGCTGGCTGCGCCGCCGGTTGCCAGAGTGAAGGAATCTGGCGGAGCCAAGGTGTTGAGAGACTTGCGGGTGCTGCAGGCACAGTTCCGGCTACTTTATACCTAGCCCAGCCCACTTTAACCATGTGGCCAGCAAAGGCGGAGCCGGCCACCTGGACCTGGGGTCCAGGGCAGAGTTTACTGGGGCTGCAGTTTCAAGAAGGAAACGGTGTCTGGGGCATGGAGTAGGGCCCCCCGGACGTGGAAGAAGGGTGCCCTGAGGTTCAGGGGCACGAAGAGGGGGCCTCGTGGGTTTGGGTAGGGGCGGGAGGCATGTCCACCCAGACTCACTCCAAGAAACCACCACGTGACACAAGGAGGGCGTTTCTGATGGGATCCCCGGGCTCTGTTGGTCGCGGCCTCCGTGCCTTTCCCAATCCCGGGAAATTGTCCAAGTATCGGATGTGGGGACAATGGTAGGAGGGTAGGTACATTGGACTGCGGACCTCTAGGCTTAGATTCACTGTCACTGCAGATTTAGAATTGAGGGCTGAGGCAGATGAGACCCTTGAGGGACTTGTTCTCCCGAAACGTGTGTTTTTTCTTTACGAGCAAGGTTCAGAGTGTGTACATGCCCCGCACGAGCTAATCCAAGGTTACCAAACAGCCAAGACAGATGAAAGTTTAATGACTTTACACAAAGTCCTACTTAGAGCAACTGGACAGAAAACAGCACAAAGTTAAATCTCTACAAAGTAAAAGTTACAGTAAAGTCTTCATCCTACGGAACAGAGAGGAGACATGATGTCCAAAGGTGAAGGAAAAAGAATAGAACTTTAAAGTGTAACCAATTGCTTAATGATAACTGAGCAATTTCAGAGGGAAGTGAGGTGGGAAGTACACAGAATCTTTAGGGTAAGATATCTCTTCATTATTTAATGCATTGTTTTTAAAAATCAATAGTCAAGAAAAAAGTCATGATAGACAAAATATAAAAACGTTAAATAAAGACAAGATGGGTAACAGTGCCAAGGCAAGCTATAGTGAATCTAAAAAGGAGAAAGCAGTTAATACTGGTTATTTTGTTAAAGAATATTCAATTGAGTAAATTTGAAAGATCTTATTTGCCTTATTTAACAATTCACAAATCGTGCAGCATCCAATCCAGCAGGCAAGAATGAGCTCTTAGGAGCTGTACAAAATGAGAGACTTAGAGCAGAAGGGAGCAGGAACAAAGAAGTTATACCAGGCAAAACAGCTGCTTGATGATTGCAAAGTCACTTTCCTTTAGGGGACACCAGGGGTCTAACAGGCACATTACCTAACTAGTGCTGATGGGTGATTCCCAATTGACTGGTTTAAGATTCCATTTCTGAGAGACTCAGAACTGTCATTAAGTCTTGATTTGGTGCTGTGGAGGTTGGCATAAGTGATTCTATTTTGGGCCTGTTGTCTTGTTTTTAGCAATTCCCCCATTTTGATCAGACACTCAGCCTGAGAGTTGTGATTAAAAATTGAAGGCTTTAACACTCTTCCCAGCTATGCTCTGGAGTTCTTGAAGTTTTTGCTGAATCTCTGTGTGGTGTTCACACATCACAACATGCAGTTCACATTCTTTAAGTCAGGCATTCTCTTTGATCCTTTCCTGATGTTCTAGTCTTAGATCATTTGCTTGGTGGTTAGTGGCTGCAAATATGCATTTAAAGCTTTTGAGAGAATACAGCACATCAGGGAAACCACTATGATTATTATAAGCAGGATAATTAATTCCCAATGTCTGGAGTGCATTTCAGAGCCAAGGTCATCAAGACCCAAAGTAATCAAAGTTAAATAAGTCAAAGAAAGACCCCATTAAAAGAGCCACTTTTTAAAGCTAACCAGCTTTTCATTCTCACTGCCTGTCCCCTATCCTTGCCTGTTCCCACCCTTTGGCCCCAGGCAACCACTAGTTTACTTTCTGTCTCTGTGGATTTGCCTACTCTGGGCATCTCGTATAAATGGCATCATACATTATCTGGTCTTTTGTGACTGTCTCCTTTCACTTGGCATCATGTTTTCAAGGTTCATCCATATTGTAGCAGGAGTAAATACATTCTTCCTTTTTTTGACTGAATAATATTCCATTGCATGGATGGACCACATTTTGTTTATCCATTCATCAGTTGATATGCATTTGGGTTGTTTCCACTTTGGCTATTATGAATGATGCTACTATGAACATATGTGTACAAGTTTTTGTTTGGACGTATGTTTTCATTCCTCTTAAGTAGATATCTAGGAGTAGAATTGCTGGTAACTCTATGTTTAACATTTGAGACACTGCCAAACTTTTCCAAGGTTGCTGTACTGTTTTACATTCCTACCAGCAATGTATGAAGGTTATAATTTCTCTTCACCAACACTTGTTATTGTCTGTCTTATTTATTATGGCCAACCTAGTGAGTACAACGTGGTACCTCACTGTGGTTTGGAGTTGCATTTCTCTAATGACTAGTGATACTGACTTGTGTGATTGTTGGCCATTTACAAATATCTTCTTTGGAAAAATATTTATTCAAATCCTTTGCATCTTTTTATATTGGGTTATCTTTTTATTATTGAGTCATAAAAGTTCTTTATACAAGTTCCTTTTCAGACTTGCAAATATTTTCTCCCATTCTTAGGGGTTTCTTTTCACTTTCCCAGTGTTGCCTTTGGACTCATATGTTTTAAATTTTGATGAAGTCTAACTTACCAAACTTCTCTGTATTGCTTATGCTTTTGGTGTCATATCTAAGAAATCATTGCCTAACCTAAGGTCATGAAGATTTATACCTATGGTTTCTTCTAAGAGTGTTGTAGTTTTAACTCTTCTATTTAGGTCTATGATCCACTTTGAATTAACTTTTGTGTATGATGTGTGGTAGGGAATAAAATGATCACTTTATATATATGAGAACTGAGGCATCAAGTAGCTATGAGACTTATCCATAGCTGTATAGCTAGTCAATGGTGCAGTTCAGAATTTGAACTCAGGCCCTCAGACTCCAGAGCAAGCCCTCAGCCCCTACTCGCTATCAGGATTCTTGAGTCTAGCCCCAGTTCAGCTGCTAATGCTCTTTTCTCTGAGCCTTGGTTGCCTCATTTTTAAAAATATGAGTTTGGGCTGCATTGTCTTAAAGGTGCCTCCAGCTTTTAATATGCTGTCAGTTTAAGACGGTACAATTCTCATGGTCTTCTCTGATCAGGCCTCTGTCTCAGGAGTGTTTATGTCCCAGGCTTTGTGTGTCTTTTGAAAACAGTGTCCTCAAGGCATCCCTCCCAGTCCTCAGGGAGCAGGCTAGCACTAAGGACCTGTAAGAAGCTCTGTTGATAGCCTTCATTATCTAGCAACAAGAAGCAGGAGGAGGAGAATCCCCAGGAGTCCCCCCTCCTCCTCCTGGTGAAAGAACACAAACAACCTCATTAGTCACCTGCTTAGGCACCACGTCCACATGTGTGGCTGCTTTTTTGCACAGGAAGTCCCCAAAGCCCCCTCGCTTTTTCTCTGAGCTGTGGATGATGGACTTAGTACAATAGCTCAGAGCCATTCTTGGGACTGTCTGGGGACCTGGGCACTTGTTATCCTCAGTGGTTTCCGTGGCTACCAGCCAAGTGTCCTTGGAGGGAATAGGCCCTTGGTATTAGAGGAGAAATAATTCTCCTACTGTGAACCTCATCCCATCCTGCCCTTCTGTCTCACTGCCACGGTCATTATTGTACCGGACACACATCTTTATGTTGTACTCACTGAGTTCCTGTGTGTTCAGCTGGAATTTTGTCATGTTATATATTGTGTCAAGTAGGTCATCCTCTCTTGGGCTTAGGTCACTCTGGTTAAACTGAAATTTCTCTTGAAATGGCATGCATTTGTTGTGAGGAGATTTTTATCTGATAGAGCAAATTGAGTTTTGGTGCCAGATCAGAGAATTTAAGATATACCAGGGCCCCATTTTCAATGCCTGATCATTTTCGTCCCTCTAGTAACTTCAGCTTTTACATGAACGCCTTCAGGGATAGGGAATCTGTTTGTAATTTCCAAGAGCAAACTAAGAGAAAAATAAGGAAAAAGCATTTCCTGCATCATGACTATTTTCTCTGAGTCACGCAATCAATTCCACAAACATTTCTTAAGCATCATTCAAGATCCAGTCACCGAGCTTCATGAGGGTATAGATAGATAACACCAAGTTCGCAGTGTTTGAAGAGGCCTAAGCAGCTGTTAGTAAATATATACCAGTCTTCCTCGTAAATATATACCAGTCTTCCTCGTAATCGTGGGTCACAGAATTCCAGTCTCATCATTGTCTTCATTATACAAAGGCGTTTCATTTATGAGACTTTACCTCCAAAAACATGAACCACAAACACAGTGATATAGACATGTTCAACATTCCTACTCTAGATTTTTTTCCTGTCTGTATGTACTGGGGTAAAAATAAGTAATGATTAGGGGCTGTTTTTCTAGATGTCCCAGCGTTTTGCATATGCTGCTTGGCTGTGAATTACAGTGGTGCTGCCTCCATGGGGGGTGTTGTAGAATTGTCAATAACAAACACTGCACTATTATCCGTATCTTGTATTAAAGAAGATAGCAGTACAGAATTATCACTTTGTTAAAAGTGATAATCAAAGAAATGTTAGTAAGACTTGGGATAAATGAGTCCCAAATATTCTGATCTAGCAATCAAAGTTCAAGTACAATTTACTTATATAAACAAGCATTCCTTTCGTCTGTATTTTCAAAATAAGTTAAATATATCTGATCAGTTTCTCTCTACTACTAAATCCCAAATAAAAGATTTTATTTCAGCCAAATAATATCTATTGTCACTCTGAATTAAAAAAATTAAAAAATTGTGTGCTAGAAAGTTAGATTTTTTAGTTGAAAGGTTGTCCTTGTTTTCAAATATGGCTACAAAATATAAAACAGTTTGTTTTTTTCTGTGTGGTCATTCCTGTGTGGACGATTAATGTTTGTTTTGTTTTGTTTTGTCTTTTGGTGGAGGAGGCAGATTAGCATTTTTCTATTATACTATTATAAAGCAAAATTTACCTTTTTATTATTAGTTCTCGTATATGTCTCACGTAGGCTCAAGGACTTGAATTTGCTTGTGTCCTTTAGTGTTAAGGCAAGCCCAGTTTTGGCATAGGTATAAACAAAGCTCCCTACAGTTTGCTTTTTGACAATATGCCATTCTAGTATGAGTTTTGTTTCTTTGCATGTAAGTAAAACAGATGGGTCATCTGGAGGAATAGAATTAGGTCAATGGGCTTGGGGATATGTGGATCATTGGTCTCTTGTGTGACCATCACTGGGCCCATGTTACTATAATCAAGGAGTTTTTGATTTCCCGTGTTTCTGGGGTAGACTCCAGAGGCCACTTTGTCTCTCTCATCTTCTCGATGAAGTTCTCTTCTGCTTCTCTTTACTTTGGGTGCTCTTATTCTCTCTAGCATTTGATCAGAATGGTGTTTGCTTCGCCTTAGCTCATGCCTAATCGATAGAAGAGAACCCTGCATCCTGGCTCTGGGATACAGCAATCGGGGGACTGGGAGACAGCTCCCTCGCCTTCTAAACAGTAGAAGCTATCAGCAGGTGAAGGAAAGCAATCATTTGGAAGTTCCTAAGCTTTTAAAACTTCTAGTCCTAAGAACTGAAATGCTGGAATTAATAATGTGCTGTGCCTGCATTTACATTCCTCTTTATCCTAATGTTCTTGCTTACAAGTCCATTTCAAGGCCACATGTATGTTTCGTCATAGCTGTGGCTGTCAATTGAGGCAGTTCACCAAGTATTTCCAGAACCCCACCTTCCAGACTTTGGGATTGCATTTCCTGGTCCCTTGTGGTTGGGTGGGGCCACAGGACTAGTTCTGGCCACTGAACTTTGAGCAGGACGCCTTAGAGGCAGGACTAGAGCAACCTTTGTTCTAGAGGTAACTGTGTCCCACTCCTGAGTACCCACCGTACATCTATGAATTATGAAGTTTTCCACTCTGCTCAGAAAGTATGTGAACTGCTCCTGGCCTGTGTGAGCTCTGAGGAGTACTTCCTCCACTTTTTTGGGGTATTTTCTTTCCCCAGCTCCGGGAAGCTCTTCACATGTGCTGATCAGTACTTAGCTGAGGAGGTAACGGGGCCCCCTGCAGCCCTCCAGAGCACACTCCCTCTCTCTGCTCCCTCTCTCCACAATGCTCCCTCGTCTCCAAGACTTCTGTGAATTCTAGCCATCTTGGCCTCCCAGCTCTGTTGCATTATAACTGAAGGAGGTGCCTGGGCTCCGCCTTCTCCTGGAAATTCTCTCTAGACCTCAAACTAGTGCAATTGTGGCACTCACCTCATTTGTTTCTCCCTCTTTCAGGGATCCCCCTACTACACTGCCTGACCTCCAAAGGCTGTATTTTATGTGGTTTTTAAGTTGTTTCAGGTGAGGGTAAATGCGAACCCTTTTACTTCACCTTGGCCAGTACAACTTTACTACTTATAAAATCTCTTCTAAGTTTAAAGACAACTCTAAAATTTCTAGTTTCTGGCTCTGGTTTAATAACTGAAAACGAGTTCTTAAATCGGTTGGTAGAAAATTGTGCTTTGTGACCAGCTAGTCAAAACGCTTTGAGGCAGCAGCTGGAGTTATAATTACCCTTTAAAAAGTTAATATTAAATGCCCAATATATATGACAAGTATTTATTGAGAATCTGCCATGTTCCAGGCACTGTTCTATGTGGTGAGGACAGAGCAGTGGACAAAATAAGGCCCTGTCCCTAAGGAGCTGATATTCTAATAGCAGGAGATGGACCATGTAGCAGATTCTTTTCCAAAAATTGCCATAGCAGTATTTTCGATCTCACCTGCTCTTCGAAAACTTTGATGTTTCTCTCAACAAAATGTGGAATCGAATTCCCCTTTCCTTTAACATGGGCAGGATTTTGTAATTGCTTCAACCTGCAGAATGCAGCGGAAGTAATGCTGCATGAATTCCAGCACTAGGTCACAGGAAATCATAGGACTCTGCCTAGATCTCTCTCAGGGTGCCTGACCTGGGAACCCTGCAACTATGCTGTGAGGAAGCCCATGCTACAGGAAGAGGCTACTTGTAGTATTACAGCTGGCGAGTGCAGCTAAGATCTCAGTCTACAGTTGTTAACCTCCAGACATTTGGGTGAATAAGTCTTTCGATAAATATAGCCCAATTTCAAGTCTTTCACACAAGCTGTCCTTGACCCACATAATTTGTATGCAGGACAGCTTGTGTGAAAGCTGTTGTTTTCCACCAATAATTTATGCAGACATAATGGGAAGGCAACAAATAATGTCAAATGGTGATAGGAAGAGTGGGGAGGGGAGATGTGGAGTTTGGGCAGAAGTACCCAGATCACTAGGGGTTGGCAAACTATAGTGTATGAATCATACTCAGCCCACTGTTTTAATAAATGAAATTTTATTGGAGCACTTAATAGTTGTCACCACGGACCTTTTGTTTATGTATTGTCTGGGATTGATTTTCTTGTGCAACGACAGAGTTGGGTAGTTGCAAGAGAGATTGATTTTTAAAATTTTCATTACATTTTTATCTGTAATGTTTCTTAATTTGAAGTAAACATAGTGAAATGTTAACTTGACAAGCCTGGATATTTGGTACTTGGGTGTTATCCTTTGCTTTTGTTTGATAGAATCTGAGGAAAAAGCAGGAGGAATGGCAAAGGCAGTGGTGTTACCAGGTTCCAGACCCTACTCATCTCTCCTCCAGCACCCTGGGCTCTAGTTGTGTCAGCTCATCAACTGGCACCCAAGTAGGAGTTTCACAAAGACAGTGGGTGAGGGAAGACAGTGTTCAGCCTGTTTTCTGTCTCAACTGGTACGTGTCATATAAATGCACAGATGAATAAAGTTGAGAACTTGGCCTGAACACTCACAAACTATGTGACTTTGGGGAAATCATTTAACCTCTTGTAGCCCAAGGCTGCTGGAAGTGACAGAACTGGTAGCTCATAATGATGTCCCTACAGGTTACCTAGGTTACGCACTTAACATAGACTCTGTACATGGTTGAGTGCTTGAATTGGTAGGTTTTTACAATTAAGTACCAGGAAGATGATAAAAAGAATGAGGTTGACAGATCTCTGAGCTGATATGGAGTGATTTCCAATGGGGGAAAATATAGTATACTGCTGTTGGTAGAAAAAGAAATGTGGAAATGTAACACACACACACACGCACTCATTTTTGCAAATGAAAATGGAAGGATAAATCAGAAACAAATGAAACTGATTACCTACAGAGGTTAAGGGGAAAAGGGAACAGGGAGGGAATGGCACCTAGTTCTCAGTATACCTTTTTTTGATTTTTGGAACTGTTTTCATATTAAAAAAAAAAAGGGGAAAAAATCTTAAACTAAATTTAAACCAAAAAAAATTAACTATATACTGAATGGATAACCATACAGGAAAAAACCCAACTTAAGGAACTTTTGAAGACAGCAACTTTGTGTGCACTCTATCAATGTAAAGAAGAAAACCTGGGGACTTGGCAGGTTCATTTACCAAGTAATCAAAGTTAACATCGCTTAGTGTAACACAGTGAGGACCTAACAA